AACGTTGGTAATCGGATCCAGATAGATCTATGAAGAATTTCCACAATTTAAATATCATATGTTTGTTAAAATGGTAAATTGAGGTGGACGATTTTCATAAGAACATCAGTAGATAATTTTGTATAGTTTCCTCCTTAACATCCCCTAAAATCACAACGTCTCTGGTGTATGGAATAATTTAGATAAGTAATATCACATTTTATAAATGCTAAAACTTCCACTTGTTGGGTGAAATAGAATTTTTATATTCAAAATTCTATCTTTGTTTGAAACCTTTTTAAATGAATTTCATTTCAGTCAGCACATTATTTTTATCTTCCCCGATTCCGGTCAACAGATATTTATGCATTGTGCACGCATTTAGTAAAGCCCCAATTCTGGCGGATAAAAAGTGATAAAATCAAAGCTTCTCCGAAAAGGTATTGAAAGGGAAAGTACCCTTGGAAGCGACATGCTAATGGCAGCGGGCGCGAAAACAATTATGTAAGTTCCTTATTTTGGTAATGCCATGTCAGTAAAGCAGTAACAACTTCCATAAATATCAAACTCATCGAAGGCATAAAAAGTGCGCAAATGGGCAGTCACACTGTCCCGATCCAGTCGATCTCTGCACCAAAAATATGGCGTCAAAAAGTTTTTAAGCTCCATGTTTATCTTCATTGGTCATGCGACTACTACCCTAAGGAATACATGACCATTTCTCTCATTTAGTCACCGTAATATGTCCCAGCTTTTTATACGCGATCATGCGAAATCTTAAACTTCCTGGACAGCTGGATACACATATATGTTATTTAATGAACCATAAGGATAAACATTATTTTCAAATATTGTCATCAATTCATCTATCAAAAAACTGTCAAGAAGTGACCACAAGCATCTTAAATTGTCATCAGAATAACTATTAAAAGAAAACTGTAGAACACTCAATAAAGTTATCGACATTAGCAGACATGTTATAATTGTAGAAGTTGTGAGCACAGGTGGCCTTACTAACCTCAGCTAGTAGGCGTTTCCCTTTAGTCGAGCGGTAGAGTGTTTGGCTATAGACAGAGGGATCACTAGTTTCAAACCTCAGGGGTGGCAGAGTGTTTTTCATTACTCCTTCCTATTGAAGATTTGGTCTAGTTGACCACTCCAAGGGTAGAAGCTGTAGGAGATTGAGATGCTGCCTTGGAGATATTGAACTTGGGTTGTTATTGTCTTCGTGGTCGAAGACTTTGTGAAGGAGGGAGTAGTATAGAAGTTGAGAGTACAGGTTGCCTTACTAGCCTCAGTTAGTGGGAATTTCCTTTAGTTGAGCAGTAGAGTGTTTGGCGAGAGAGGGAGGGTCGCTAGTTTGAACCCCAGCGGTAGCAGGGTGTTTACTCCTTCCTATTACATTATTATGTCCATAACATACCAATGTACTAGGTGTCATGTCGATATTTGAAAAATTGGTTGAGTTGATGAGAGTGAAATAATGTATTGTGTATCACAGCCTAGGCATACTTTAGATTGTATACGAAATACAATTACATACAAGAAAAAATCATTTCGAATAATTTAACTTTCCATAGCTCAACCAGTTCTATAAACATCAACATGAAACTTTGTACATCGGATATGGCTGACATTCAAACATTTGCTTCAACCAAAAGAATAGTTGTCAATCATCCCATATTACTCTGGGGTAGCCCCTGAAAATCGCCAAATTTAGTAATTTCTCTAGGTTTGGTACATCCCCAGAATTGAGATAAAATCTACCCCGGATTTCAGAAACGAAAAAAAATCACTAATACCCTGGAGCATGACCATTTATGCCTGAGTAAAGGTGTGTTTGACACTGCTGTAGTGTTGACAGGTGTAAGTTCAACACAGGAGCCTATTATTTGAGGTTCTGGTTTGTAGAGGTGTATCAATGGGTTGACTTATAAATGTATTGCAATTGATAGCATATTGTCAAGTTAATAACTATCGCAATAGTTTGGTCAACTATTGATTGTTAACGATAGTTTCTTTAACTGAACAAGAAAAAAGCTACTCGAAAGCAAGATTTTTCACAAAGTTATTGCCAAATGGCTGCAAGCTAGCCTTCGTAAATTTATAAAAGTCTTTGGGACCTCAGTCAAGGGTAGCACTAAGTACAGGAACAGAACAGTTACCTACTTAGAATGTAAATAAAATTTTAAGCAGAAGTTGTTTCATTGATGAGAATTTCTTTTCTAAATAAGTGTTATATCCTTGTTTACAATATGATCTAATTTCGATAAACAATACAGCGTAAGGTAACAGCATTTCAAAAGTAGTTTCCAATGAAAAGGTAAAGAAGAGTGATAGGACAGCATTTTGGTAACAAAGTGTCTTAAAACTTATCGCAATTAAACTCCCATTTGTGAAAGAACAGATATTTTTATCAGGTAAATAAGTACCTTATATATATATATATTTCCTACCTTTACTAGTTAGGGCTACTGACATATATATATATTTTTTTTTTTGACAAGGTTCTGCTAACGATGTATGAAATGTGTCAAATTTTTGGTCAAAACGAAACAGTTATATCTTTGTTGAAGTAATTAATCACATTTTAAAACATAAAACAAGTTAATAAAGAGGAAATTTTTAATAATAATAATATTGTACAGTCTTGAGTCCAGCTGTGTATGAGTTTTACAGCAAGTACTATCGGTTAGCATGATTATGTATAAAAGAAACAAACATAGAAATATATTAAAGTGTTACAAATATCACATAGCAACAAAGGAAATAAGTTTTAAAGGTAAACAATTTTTGTGATACTAGTATCATGATAGCGGTTTTAGCCTCAATACTGGTACGTATCTGGATGCTGAGTCAGTGTCACAATATTGAGAGGGTCTTAATATCATTTCTAACATGGATGAATGATCAAGGTAGCAAGACTGAAGATGTGTAGCTCGTCAAACATACTAGATATAATGATATTATTATGAGCAAGTCTTTGGTGTCTTCAAACATTTTTTATGTCTGAGACAACCATTTTTGAACATTTAAAACAAGGTGAAACACCATGATGTGGTAGATTTCATATCATAAAATAATTACTTTTTATTTAAATATATTGCCATGAATATATATGTTCATTTAGTTTTAGGCCATCAAATAAGTTTTAGTTACAAAAATAATTTGTGGACATAACAGGACATGAGTTTGCAATCAAAAAGTTTTTTTTCATGTACAAATAGATGAAGATGCATTTTTTTCAACAAATGTCTAGAAAAATTTTCGAAAGAATGTTTAAAGAATTTTATCTCTTGACAATGCTTTTATTCACCAGTTGCAATTATGGTGTCCTGTGTTACATCCAGTTCAGAATCCAAGTCCGTGTTGCATTCAGACATATTTAAAAAAAAAAAAAAAAAAATAGATACACCTGTTATACACCAGAAAATTTTAATGTTAAAAGTAATGTCATGTAGAGTTGCTTTACATAGAGTATCTACATTTCAATCATCATCAAAAAAGTAAATATATTGCAGAATGGAAAGACGTAACGGAGACCATGATTCATGTTTGGTGTCCTGTGCGTCCAAGGAACAATTAACTAGCCATATAATCTGCCACTTGATTCTTACCCACCACTTGTAAAATGTGAAAAGGTCTTTCTTTTATATTCTATCATTTCAAACAACATTTTCAACGGTTGGCCTATATATTCATCTAATGTCATGGATGTAACATTGGACATGCATCACTGCCTTGCCATTATATAAGTCATCTTTTGCATCCTGGTAGTGCAGACATGTATTAAACAGTTGGAAACCGATCAGTGATATACACCTCTAACATTATATCTTAAGATATATATACCAACGTACTCGTTTTAAGAGATATAATTGTTGTAGTTTCAATGTCTGGGATCTAACATAATGACATGATTTACACAAGCACTGAATGATTTGATTTCTTTAAAACATGTTCAGAGTTTTCCACTGCATTCCCTATTATCAGGACACCAATCACTTCAGGAAGGATATATGCACAACCACAAGGTGGAAACACAACACAAGTTAACATCATTCTAAGTATATCTTGGAGGTATCATGTAAGACATGAAATGTTAGTCCAGGTGCTAATTTTTTCAAGATGTAAATGTAAATTAATGTACATTTCTGAAAAGTAAATATGTTTCATTGATCTTTTCAATCTTTATCCTTTCAACTTGTCTCATAACATTGAACAAAACGTATATGTTAACAGTTACTTTTGCTTGTGAAAACACCCTCCACTTGACCATGGACACCAAATAATGGCTTGGTGTCGATACGAAATGAGATTTAAAATAGAAATTGTGATTTAGATATTTCATAAAATTACAGAATGTTTTGGTAGTTATATCCTTGTTTAAGGAACTTACAAACTATATAACTGATGTTTCATTCAGCAAACAAGATTTGAAGATATATTTACAAAGAGCGGATGTACCAAATATTTTTTGACACCAAAGACTTGCATGTATATATATATCTATTGTATCAAACTGTTTCAATTTAACTAGGCAAGCATGAATAAACTACATGTATAAAAGATCAAGCTGAATCACTGTTTTTATTTATTTTCATGTCACCAAACTGGACAGCAGTTTTCCTTGGAGAGAAAAAATGCTGCGAAAATTGTCATGCATTTTTCCCCTGCTTTCCTATGTGATACAAGGGAGATCTCCCTGATAGGTTTCAGAGGGACAAACCTGTGCAAATGACCAGTGCGAAATGTAACAGCACTAGTGTATATATGTAATGAATGATATAGTAGGAAATCGAACAACTTAACACCATTTTTGTAGTTCCACTCCTGTTGATTACAACTAGACTTTGATCAGTTTAATATGAAAATGGATAAAATCATGAATTGCAAATTTACTTTACACCGTTTTCTTCCATCAAAGTTTCCATTGTCCCATGGAGGGAGTGCCTTCGGAAGAAAATCACTTTGATGAACTGATATAAACCGTAAGTTTTGTGACAACACTGATGTGAAGAATGTCTGGGGAAGGACGATACAACAAGAGTGGTCTCCCCATGTTCCATCTACGGCGGATAGGGCCACCTGCCACAAAGCCTGGGGTAGCTGATATTATGGAGTATGTATTTCAGACTTTCATGTTTACACTTGTACATTTGATGCCATTTTGATGACGGTCTTGTGCAATTTAGTTCACGTAGCAAAGTAGATACTGTCGTGTAAGACCCCTCAAATGCATTATTACGTTTAGGCTAATGAGTGATAAGAGGAAATAATGCTGTTTTGAAATTGTTGTGAAATTACTTACTTTTTTTTTTTTTTTTTTCGTAATTCGGGAGTCAAATACTACGAAAATGACGAAAATGAAACAACCTCAGAGTTTATGGTTTTCCTTGAAAATAGCATTTCTTGAGTACTTGATTATCGTAGATTGATTATCATGGTACTTGAAAAGACCCCGGTCATTATATCTTAATCGGAAAAGTTTAATGAAATTAGTTGTAGAAAGAAGAACATGTAGATTTGTACTCATAGAATGAAATTGGTCATGACAGTGTACAGATAAGTTAACTTTATTTTGAATATTGTGTCCTGTACAAATATGCTAATAACAGCTTTTACACTGAAGTGCACATATTTGAGTTATTTTATCTGTTCACAAAAATGTGATTTGATTTTTAGAAAATTTGATGATAAAACCTTAATTTATGTTTTTTTTCTTCTGTGTTTCAGCTTTTTTGAAGTTACCACAATGATAGGGAAAAGTGCTCAGTCCATGTACCAGATAGATTCAGCGTCGGAAATGCGTCGTTCATACATTTCCCGAAATCATGCCAGAGTTGTGATAAGATCGCCGAACAATGACCACATGATGTTTGATGACAGTATGAATGGGATTTTTATCAACAATTTGAAAATTCTTCGTTAGTAGATTTATTAGATTTCTTTTCGAAGTACATATGTACCAATATTTTTCGTGAAATTGTCTTTTGCACTAAAAGAGAACGTCATTTATGCAATCCATTCTCTTTCATTTCTTATCTCTACAAAGAAATTTATATGTGTGCACTCCCTAATCCCGGTTTATTTTCATCCTATATAGGCTGTTGAAATAGCCCTTTATCAGTGGTGTGTGATTTCATCTTCTCTCAGAAGACATTTCATATTATTGTTATTTCTTGAGAAGTAGTAGATCTATCTATTTCAAATTTCAGTCCTATGCTCTCCTATATGCCTTTTGTGCTTGTCCAGTTTTGGGATTGATTTGAAAGCAAAATGGCTCATGGGTGGCCATCTTGAATTTTGAAATAAAATTTTGTTACAACTGTTTATTTAGATGTATGGGATAGATCTTTCTCAAATTTCTCGAAGACACCCCTCTTACTATTGAAAAACAAAAATGGCTATCAGGTTGCCATTTTAAAAATTTACATTTTGAGAAGTACCACATAGATCATTTTCAAATTTTGTAAGTAGACTTACTATGATCTGCTTTCATGTATGCTTGATTTTTTATTCAGAATTATGAAAACAAAATGGTTGACTAATAGCCATCTTAGGTTTGTCCATTTAAGTTAGTTGATGATATTTTGCTCGTTTCCCTTGGTCCCTTATTGTGCATGTTCTATTTTTGAATTGACAGATAAAAGAAAAGACAAGTAAGAGGACAAATTAATATAACAGAAACAAAGACTATAGATACAATAGTGAATGCCATGATCCTCTGGTAATCTCTGTCCATATTGACTAAAATCTGCATAAAATGACTCTCACCATCCATGATTGTCGCTATGGAATCATGCATTAAGTAGGTATTTAGAAACTCTTCTACACTCCAGGTTTTGTAGAGTTATGTCTGCTAGACTACATTGCGTGTTTATTCTTTTTTTTATGTCGTTTTAAGAGACAGGGTCATTTCTAGACATGCCAGATTTGGTATGGTGATGTCCATTGTTTGAACTGAAGGCACAGCTAAAGGTGCCCAGAGTTATGCCTGTTGTTTACAACATGTGTCATATATCAAAATGAAAAGATGATATAATTTTTTGTTGAATTTCAGATAATGTTTTGTTATGTGAGGGAGATAAGGTAACATTTGGCCATCCACAAGGTGCCAAAATCCCATGTGGAATGCGGAAACTCCAACCTGACTCGGAATATCAATTCTTGGTACGTTTGATAATCAAGGGCAACTTTCATGTAGCTTATTATATTACTGTATTCGATCCAATAAGGGCCCAGGGCACTTAAAAAAAATTGCAATTAAGGGGGGAGCTTATTAGAGACCATCTTAGATGTAAAAGAAACACATTCAGTACTATAAAATCTGCTGTACGGTTCATGTATTTATAAAATCACTAGATTTTTTACATGCAATAAAACCATCTTAGATACAGGGACATGGGCGCTTATTGGGTCGAATACGGTATCCTTCACTTCATTGCGACATACAGATCTAAAAGCATATTCCTGAAGATTGCGTTAAGGTAAAGATAGGAATAAGGAATGGAATGTATGTTAGGATTTTCTGTTAAAAAACAATAATCCGTACCATGATTATAATGTATCTAATAGTGATGTTTATGTTTCAGTTTGAAAAGTGCAACTGTCCAGGTCAGATGATAGTATGTCGTGTAAGTACAGCAGAACCCTATCAGTCTTAGTTAGATGGTAGTGTGTCGTGTAAGTACAGCAGAACCCTATCAGTCTGTAGAATATTTCTAAGGCTATATGTTCACGAGACAAAAGACCAGACACAGTTTGAAGCCTTGAATTATTTTCAATTTTTCTGTAGAGAGAGTATGTAGGTAGACCTACCTTTTGGAAAAAAGGGAATGTAAATACCTCCCACTTTCATTACAGTCCCGCACGAAAGTGCAGGTGCCCTATAGTAATCACTGTGTCTGTCTGTTTGTCTGTCTGACTAAAATATTAATTAAGTTTATGATTTATGTTCCTCTACATTGGACTCAAAATATAAAATTCCAACAAGTTATCACAACTGGGATGAACATTTTATAACATAAATTTCAATTTCCAATGAATCTGTGACAAACGGGTGTTTAAAGTTCTTGTCCAGCCCAATGGTTATCTGATCTGATAAGATAATTCTGAACTAATGCAAGTTTTTGTAAACAATATTTAATGGTTCTAACTGAAACAAAAATGAATTCTGATCAATTCCTTACTGGTTTTGCAGAGATCTTCTGTTAGTGGAACCTTCGTTGTTCCGGAAAGTCCAGTGCATGCTGGGAAATCCAGTTCCAAAAAGCGGGATAGAAACACCACCCAAATACTCACTGCTGAGGATATACTCAAACTTGTAAGCATGGTAATATATATCTTCAATTAGCTTATCTGGTAGAAAGCAATGCCATGAATTTATAAGGTGACTTAACATGCATCATTTGTCTGTTGTCTTCTTACAACCGGCATCCATAGTTTATTTTTCTCGATTTTAGTGAAATTATTGAGCAGGATTTAACTTCAGGTTTGATGATAAATGGTTTATACCATTTGGTTTATTCAAAGATAGAAGTTGCCCCACTCAGGCATTGAGATGACAGATTTGAAGTGGTCAAATTTAGTTACAGGCTTCACAAGGAGTTTTGTAATCTTTTAATCAGTACACTTGTACAGTTTTCTTGAAATTATTTTTCAGAAAGAAGAATTGGAAAAGAAGTCACTAAGTCAGTCGTCTGCTACTCCATCACAACCTAGCACTGCTAACAGTCATAAGATAAACCAATCAGAACCAGACCCACCTGCCCTTCAAACTGATGACAATATCACTACCAGTGTTGTTAGTTATAAAGATGAAAAAAATTGTGATCAGATGATATCTGCTCCAAGTGTTAGTAATAGGGAAGGTTCACAAAGCTGTAGAGATGGCACAACTGCTATTCACAGTGGTAGTGACAGCAGAGGTTCACAAAACCATGAAGACATGACAACTATTCACAGTGGTAGTGAGAGCAGCGGTTCACAAAACCATGAAGACATGACAACTATTCACAGTGGTAGTGACAGCAGCGGTTCACAAAACCATGAAGACATGACAACTATTCACAGTGGTAGTAACAGCAGAGGTTCACAAAACCATGAAGACATGGCAACTATTCACAGTGTTAGTGACAGCAGCGGTTCACGAAACCATGAAGACATGGCAACTATTCACAGTGTTAGTGACAGCAGCGGTTCACAAAACCATGAAGACATGACAACTATTCACAGTGTTAGTGACAGCGGAGGTTCACAAAACCTTGAAGACATGACTGCTATTCACAGTGGTAGTGAGAGCAGCGGTTCACAAAACCATGAAGACATGACAACTATTCACAGTGTTAGTAACAGCAGAGGTTCACAAAACCATGAAGACATGACAACTATTCACAGTGTTAGTGACAGCAGAGGTTCACAAAACCATGAAGACATGACAACTATTCACAGTGGTAGTGACAGCAGCGGTTCACAAAATCATGAAGACATGACAACTATTCACAGTGGTAGTAACAGCAGAGGTTCACAAAACCATGAAGACATGGCTGCTATTCACAGTGGTAGTGACAGCAGCAGTTCACAAAACCATGAAGACATGACAACTATTCACAGTGTTAGTAACAGCAGAGGTTCACAAAATCATGAAGACATGACAACTATTCACAGTGTTAGTAACAGCAGAGGTTCACAAAACCATGAAGACATGGCTGCTATTCACAGTGTTAGTGACAGCAGCAGTTCACAAAACCATGAAGACATGGCTGCTATTCACAGTGGTAGTGACAGCAGAGGTTCACAAAATCATGAAGGTATGACAACTATTCACAGTGGTAGTGACAGCAGCGGTTCACAAAACCATGAAGGTATGACAACTATTCACAGTGGTAGTGACAGCAGCAGTTCACAAAACCATGAAGACATGACAACTATTCACAGTGGTAGTGACAGCAGCGGTTCACAAAACCATGAAGGTATGACAGCTATATTAAGTGGTGGTGATAACAGTAGTTCACAAAAAGGTCAAGAGAGCATGACAGCTATTGGTGGTGACAACAGAGGATCACCAATCAATGATGTGGACACAACAGCCATTCCCAGTAATAGCAAAACAGCAAAGGAAATTAATAGAGACACTCCAGACCTACACATACCTGAAGATTCATCTAGAGTGTTATCAGAGGACAATGGTACAAAAGTTAGTGCTATCGGAGAACAAACCATTGTTAACAAATTAGAGGTAGAGAAGGATGTAAGGGAGACAAGCTCACCAAGGGAGAGAGAAGTATTCTTCGGCTACAAAGAAGAAAAGGGCACTGCAAATCATTCTGGTCCTGCTGAAGAATTTTCTATTAATAGTACTAATCCTAAAAGAGAAGACAGTTTTGAAATTTTTGAGAATGTTCCTGATAAACTCTCTAGTTCTGATGAGGAAAATTCTGTAGAGAGATTTAGTCTATCGGAAGACGACAGTTTTGAAGATGCTAATATGCCAACTAACACAGGGAGTCAGTTATGTAAAGTAATCCATTCACACATGCATCCATGTCTAGCTAAAACAAGTACCCCAAAGCCGAAACAGACAGGATTGAAAGGCCCAGGACCAGTTGAGGTTTGTCAATCTAGAGGTAATTGTTCACAGAAGTCCACAATATTAAAGAATGTGTCACAAGCAGGGCAAGCCGATAAAGTCTCGCAACAGGATGCAGCCATTCAGACCTCTCCTCTTGTCCCACTTGTTGAAGAAATCTCTTCCACAGATGCCCAGCAAGAAGGGCAGTGCTCGGCTGATACAGAGCATTATAAGGAAGAAGATCCCATTGTACAACCCATCCAAGCTGATACCACACGACAGGCAGGCCATTCACAAACCACGAAAAATGATGCTGATCATACAAGCACATGTAATCAAGATTCTGAGCCAGGACTTAAAATTGATCCGGAGGTTAAGTCATGTGAAAGTCGGTCAACCGATTCTGCAGAATGTCCTACAGAGGTCATGATGTCAGACACCAATGACTTGGTTGGTGTATTTGATGATTTGGACATGGAGGATGTTGAATTTTCAAGTGATAACATTCATTTGTTGGGTTGTGACAACTTTAATGAAACTGTTCAGTATCAAGAAGGTGGAGTTAATGATAAGACAGAGACTAGACACAACACTAAGGAGGGGTCCATGAACATGTCAGATAACATGGGCAAGACTGAACTTGTTTCTGATGATTTGGATGAAATTGAACCATTACCCGACAATGTTGACAAGACTGAACTTGTTTCAGATGATTTGGATGAAATTGAACCATTACCCGACAATGTTGACAAGACTGAACTTGTTTCAGATGATTCGGATGAAATTGAACCATTACCCGACAATGTTGACAAGACTGAACTTGTTTCAGATGATTTGGATGAAATTGAACCATTACCCGACAATGTTGACAAGACTGAACTTGTTTCAGATGATTCGGATGAAATTGAACCTTTACCAGATTTTGGTAACAAGACTGAACTTGTTTCAGGTGATTTGGATGAAATTGAACCTTTACCGGTTAATATTAATAAGACTGAAACAGTTTTAGTGAGAGATTTGAATACTACAGATGACCATGATGAAGATTTGAACAAGACAAAAGATATTTCATATAGAGATGTTGAAGGAGAGGTTGATGGTCAATTAGATAATACAAAAACTGAAAATATTCCAGAAAATTACGCTTGTTCAACGGAACCAGGCAAAACTGAAGACATGGATGAAAGCAACAATGTAGAAACAGAACTGGACAAGACTGACAGTGATGATAGAACTGTTGTGGAGCCACATGGGGTTATCACACCTGACAAATGCATCTCTGAAGACAATGAAAAGAACATTCCAGAAAGTACTCTGTCACATATTATGGAGATGACTTCAATTGATTCTCTTGAAACTGTTCCAAACAGAAGTGCAAAGACATCAGTTGTAAATCAAGACTTAGAATTTTGTGAGAAAAATTTTCAAAATTCTTCAGAAAATTTACCTAGAAAAAAAGCGGGACCTGTATCTTTGGTTTCTGAATCTGCCTGCAATTCTGCTGAAGTTTTCTTTTTTGTTGAAGATGGTGAAGCTGAAACAGATAATCCTGAACAGAAAAGTGCAGAAAGGGCATTCAGCAATGAAGTTAAACAACAGAAGGTTGATGAGCTACCTGAAGAAAATAGCAGTTCCAGTGGTATCAGTATGATGGAACAGAATTTAGATGAAGATGAGGAAACAAAAAACAGCGACGATTTAGTGGAAGAAGTCATTGTTCCCATTCAGATAGCCAAACAGGTCAAGACTGAAGCAATTCAACTTAGTAATGTTGATATCAATTCTAGCTTTGCAGATACTGAACAGAATTTGAATTCTCATGCCAATAAATCTTACATTGTATTTCACAATTTGTCTACTAACATCTGTGATGTGGAGAATACAAGTTTCAGAAATGAAGACAATGAAAACAATGATAATGACAAAGATGGCATTGACGGATTCCGAAATGCAAACAAGAGAAGACTTGTAATGGATAGTGACAATTTGAACGCTGACTTCAGTTGTTGCCCAGATCCAGAAAAGAGAAAACATTCAACTGTTGATATGATAAAAAATGAGGAAAACTTCGGTTTGACCTGCAAAAATATTAAACAACAGGAAGAAAATGGAGGCGTTACATTCATTCCCAGTTGTCCCGATGTGGAAATGGTTAATACCAGTCATACTAGTGATGGTCTTTCGCAAACAGATGAGGTGGATGGAAGCGAATTGGGGATTTCCAAAGACAGTGTCTTTGTCACTGCGAAAGATGGCACCGTCAAGCCAGTTACAAATCAAAATCCATCTCTAACGGATAGTGCCTCTGTAACATTTGATAAACAGGAAGGAGATGAGAGCAGTTTATGGTTGGGGGAGGAACTAGCTACAAATGTCAAGCAAGTTGAGGAGACCACAAATACAAAGACGGTGAATACAGAACAGATTCTGAAAAATTGTCAGGGTTCCCAGCAAACCGATTTTGGAGCTGAGACAAATAGCGTGATTATAACAGAACAGATACCAGAAGTTTCTTCGATAACAGGGAAAGAGAAAGCTGTGATGGATGGTTTGACCCAAGTGGAACAGACACTGAACCGTCCAATAACAGGTGTCAATACGAACACTGTGACAGATAATTTGTCACCTATGGTACAAATACCAAAGTTTTCAACATTAGAAAGGAAAAAGGACTCTGCGACAGCTAGTTTGTCTCCTACAGAACAGTTAACAACAGGTGTGAACAAGGATGCTGTGACAGATGGTTTGTCCCCATCACAGCAATTAGCAGAGCATTTAACAACAGGTTTGAACAAGGATGCTGTGACAGATGGTTTGTCCCCATCACAGCAAATAGCAGAACATTTAACAACAGGTGTGAACAAGGATGCTGTGACAGATGGTTTGTCCCCATCACAGCAAATAGCAGAACATTTAACAACAGGTGTGAACAAGGATGCTGTGACAGATAGTATGAGCCTCACAGTACAAAAACCGAAGGATTTAACAACAGGTAGCAATATCAACTCTGTGACATATAAATTGTCCCCTTTCGAACAAATAACTAGGGATTCAACGACAGGCAGCAATATTAACTCTGTGACATATAAATTGTCCCCTTCCGAACAAATAATTACGGATTCAACAAGAGACGGTAATATGGAATTGCCAACAGATGGTTTGACCTTAACGGGACAAACACCAAAGAATTCAACAACAGGTGCGAATGTGGGTGCAGAGACAGATGGTTTGACCTTAACGGGACAAATACCAAAGAATTCAACAACAGGTGGGAATGTGGATGCAGAGACAGATGGTGTTACCCCTGTAGTACAGAGACTTGAGTGTTCCGCAACAAATGGTTGTAGGGAGGCTGGAACTAATAGTTTGTTACCCATGGAACAGATCCTGCAGGGTTTTCAGTCAGTAGATGGGAATATGGAGATCTTGGAAGATGATAAGAGTCCTGTTGAACAGATACAAACGGGTTGTCAAGCAGATGGGAATGTGGCTGCTGAGGCGGTTGGTCTTACTGGATATGCAGAACGAATGCCAGCATATTCTCCAACAGATGGGAATATGGAACCTGTAAAAGATGGTATGAACTCCGAAGCACAGATAATCAAGGGTGTTCCAGCAGATAGCAATACGGAGAATGCAGATAGTTTGATCAATACGGATCAAACACCAGAGGCCTCTTGGCCAAAAGATCGGAGTAGAGAGGTTGTGACTAATGATATGGTCTCTGGAGAACGGATATTGGAGAGTCCTGTAGGAATTGTGAATGAAGAGTCTGTGACAGATGTTACGACCACAGTAGGACAGCTATTGGATAGTTCTCAGCCAGAAGATACAAACATGGAGGCCTTGACTAAGTATATGCCTACATTAGAACAGAAACCAGAGACTTCTTGGGCAGAAAATGGGAATATGGAGGCTGATGACAATATTATGTTATCCAAGGAAGAGATATTGGAGAGAACTCCAGCAGATGGGAATATAAAATCTATGGCAGATAGTCTGGAGACAACAGAAGCAATACCAGGAGACTTTTTGATTGAGAAGAAAGTGGGGTCTATAATAAATAGATTTATCCCAGTGAAACAGATACAATGTGACTCTCCAACAGGTGAGAATATGGAGGCTTTGACTCCAACTAAACTTATACCAGAGGATTGTCATACAAGCAGGAATAAAGATGCTGTAACGGATAGTATTACCCCTGCATTCAAGAGTCTGGAGGGTTCACAAGCTACAGATGAGAATATAAATATTAATGATGAGAGTGTTACTCAAATAGAGAGTAGTTTTACAGAGGCAAGGATGAAGTTTGTGACAGCTGATATGACTCCAAAAGAACGGGTTCTGGAAAGTTCTCCTACAGGTCAAATGTCGAACACGGATGAAGGATTTGATAATTGTGTTTTCACTGAAACATGTTCTGTCGGTAGTACCTCACCAATCTCTAAAAATATACAGGCCATTCAAGACTTCTGTCAGAGTGTCTCTCCCCTCGTCAAGACAACAGAAAATAACAGAATCGAAGATGTATATACGTCTCCTGTTAGCAAAAGGCAGCAAGATAAATTGGATGCTTCAGACATGATCACTTGTCTGGAAGATTCTATAACATCTGTTGACATTTCCGACCAGGAAGATGTGTCTGTCTCTTTTCTGGAGATCAAAGATATCCCTCCAGTGTACATATTAGACAAAGAAGCACTTGAGGAGGAGAAAGATCACGATGACAGTTGTACAGACCAAGTGAAAGAAAAGAAGAATTCTACCAAGACGCCTATCTCTCAACACCTTACAGAGGGCCACCGTTCAGACATTACACAGACAGAAACACAAGTAGGAGTGCAAGAAAGTGTTTCTGGAAATTTTCCATCAAAGGAAGGAAAAATCTCCTCTAGGGAATGTACCCTTGAAAGTTCAGTGACTGATTGTGATGGTTCCATCCAGAACAAAATTTCTGATGCAATATCGGCAAAGAAGGACTCATTGCATCAGGAAAATGATCTTAAGGCTGATGTAAACAAAGAAAACGTTGTAGAGAGTAATGGAAATATGGAGAGGTCCGAGATGACTGAAAGGAACAGTATGGATTCTCATCAAGAAAGTTCGTTGGGCATCAGCAGCTTGCCACTTACAGACAGTTGTACCTCACAATTTAGTGAGAGTGACCTTGTACGTTTCTGGGAAGTGGACAACCGAAAATTGGATAGTGCCAAGTCAGTTGAAGCGATTGATGTCGGTTCTCCAACCAATGAACCTTGTACTGCTGTTGTCTCAACTGCTGATTATCTGTCAGCGGTAGTGTCCACTGTTGCTTCAACTGAAATGCTTGTTGCTTCACTAGATGTGCCATCGGCCATATCTACTAATGTGTCTGCAGATATCTCAAGTGATTTTTCGAAAGGTTTACCAACTCAGATGTCTTCAGAGATATTGGAAGATGTTTCAAATGATTTGAATATTGATGTGTCCAGTGGAATGAAAGCTAGTGATGAAGATATGAAAGAACCAATGCAGGACGTGGAATCTAGGTTGCCAATAGAAAGGGAGGCTGAAGATAGGCTTGATGAATCGGAGGAGATAAGTTCTTCAGACCAAAGAGGTCTGTGTTTAAAAGACACTAAAGAACAACCTGCTTGTAGTTTAATTGAGAAACTAAGCAATGTTGTCACAACACCATATACCAATATCGAAGCCTTGTATCAGTGTTCACCAGAGACAGATGACGAACCTGATCAGCAATTGGACAAGAATTTTGATGATACTGTCTCTGGTAGACATGCTTCTGGAAAGAGAAAGCGTAAATTATCAGATCGCACCTCTGAGGAGGATGAGATACACTCAGCAAAGAAGAAAAGGACCGCATGGTATCAAAGTGTGAAAACTACATTGTCAAACTTTTTTAACATCAGGCACAAAGTCGTATTCTCCAAAAAATCTCTCTCTTCTAAAAAGAGCCTGAAAAAAGAAAATATTGCCAAGATAGTGAAACGTTTCTTTGTTCTTAATGACAAACGTGCAGAATCTGATATGATTCCAAAATATGGATTTGATGATAATCAGGACTGTGATAGTGTTTCAGACGATAATAATGACAGAGGCGATATGGAGTCTTCAAACATGAGGGAAGATGTGACCAAATATTCTGTGCAGAAGACTCCTGAATACAACAGTTATAGCTCTGGTACAGACTCTGTTTTAACCAAACCATCAGAGCAGATCTCGACTTGTTCCACGGGTCAGGAGCCAAAGATAGAAAATGAAGGACTGTTCTCCGCTTTCCCAACAGATCTGACTGATGAAGCAGGAAGTGATGAATTCGGTGGATTCACATCCTTCTCAAGCAAGCAATGTGAAGGCTCAAAAGTTCCTGAGGAAACTATTGTTCAACTTAGCAGTCTGGTGAAGGAGGATGTATCTGTCAATGATAGTAATGATGGAAACACATTCATGTCTACAAAAGTTTATGGTGCAGCAGAATCTCCGCAAGGAACAAATGAGGCTACGGAAATACAGACTGAACGGGAAATCTATAATGAGGCTTCCATAGATGAGATTCGCTGTAAGGACAGTAGCCATGGTGATGTGGATGAAGATGATCGTGATGTTTCAGGAGAATCCAAAGGATTCCATCCTTGTTTAGATACTCAACACGAAGATCGCTCTGTATCAGAAACAAGATATGTAGCTGAAGAAATTGCTACCCAGAAATCAGTCAATGAATTTGAAAAAATGGAGACAGTTTTACAGAAAACTACAGATAGTATGGCATGTAGTGCCGTTTCTACTGAGAATGATTTGGAAAGGAACCAACAATCACCAGACTCTGTGAACAGAAATCAGGATTTTACCCAAGATAGAGCTTGTGCGAATTCAGAATCTTCAGAACTACCTTGTATTGATACAAAGGAAAACTTGGAGTCATTGCTTGGCCCAGTGGAAGACTGGCTATCTTCAGCAAATGAGGAAGAGACTCCAAAATCTAGTGATGAGGAAGAACAGGATTTTGATTCAGATTCTGAATCAATCTTAGCTCCAAAATGTACAGTAGAAATTAAATCATCTGGAGATTATGAAAAGCATACAACATCTGATTCAAATCAGGAGAGTTTGTCGGAACTTTCGTCAAAAAGTCAAGATACAGAAAACACTGAGGATGATCAAGTGCAATCTACTTCTGACAAGTCAGTTGCCAATATCAAAAAGAAGTCTACCAAGAAAACAGAAAATCTTAAGAAAGACTCTCAAAATGTACCAGAAAAAAGTCTTCTTAGCAACATACCAATGCTTGATCCCATGGCAAAGACATACAGTCTCAGTGAGATGGATTCCTCTGATATCTCAATCATCACACTCCGAAGTTCTGATGAGCTGGAATATTGGGAAGGTAATGATTTGAATGAAGATGATATGAAAGGGATAAGTACTAATGACACAGACATTGTCCTTAAAAACAAAATTAATCTTAAACAAGAAATGGAAGAACCACCAATACAGGTTCTAGCATCGAGGGACAGACATGTGTCAGTGTCGTCAACAGATAAGGTTAGTAGTCAAGAGAAAAAATTACATGATTCTGAAGATTACACCCGTGATAGTGAAAACTTTAGTGATCACTGCGATCCAATGAATTCCATGGTAACTGTTAGCAACTCCGAAATGACAGAGCAGAACACCGATTTGAGCTCCATCAACTACTGTCCTCTGCCAGATTTCGAGACAGATTCCTCAGTGGATGACACCAAACCTGCTGTTGATTTTATCAATCAGAAAATCTCTCCACGTCAAAACGAAATAATGATATCAGACTCAAGTGATGAATTACCTGAAGTTGTGTTCTTGAAAGAAGAAAGGAGAAATCCAAATATCCAGATAAAATCGGAGTTTACAGATGTGTTTGTAAAACAAGAGAGAGTTACCCAGGAGTGTGGTTCCAGTGTATCTTCTACACAGGAAAAAGACACAGACTATCGGCCCGTGGTACAGAAAGGTCTGAACTTACCATCAACAACTCGTAGTACCAGGTCATACGTGCCCGAAAGAGGTTTAAATTTGCCTGCCTCCGAGATTAGTTCAAGCACTAGTAAGTCTAGTTTTGAAGACCAGGGGGAAGAAAAGAAAGGTTTGTCAAGGAAGAGGAGAAAAAAGAAGTCTCCTGTCAAAAATAAAAACAAAATACCAGAAAAGAAACAAACTACACCTTCCAAATATAATCGACGACCTCGAAGAAAGAAGAAAAGTGGAAAATGTTGTGATAAGGAATTGATTGAGTTGATTACGGACAGTGATTCTGATAGCGATGGTCCGTCAAAGTCCAAAAGTCCAGCCAAGTCAGTGGAGAAAGAAAAGGATAAGGTAAAAAAGTGTGAAACCAGCTTGTTGGCCCGACATCCTGCCAAAAAGTCTGATGATCTTCAAGATGATATTCAGGTTGACCTGGGAGATAACTTTGTGGTTGACAGCCGAGGTGAGCATGAGGACGACCCTGGCATGGCTGAGGAAGATCACAACACTGAACCAGGTTAATATAAATTTTGTATCTGATAATCTTATTGTAAGTTAGGATTCTGCCCTGAGATGGTTCAGGTTTGTATATTATAATTCTACCCTGATTTGAGTACTAGTTTTTACAATAGGATCCTGCCCTAAGTTGGGTTCAAGTTTGTTCATTCCAATCCTGCCCTGAGTTGGGTACTAATTAGTACTGTAGGATCCTGCCCTGAGTTGGGTACTAATTTGTACTGTAGGATCCTGCCCTGAGTTGGGTACTAATTAGTACTGTCGGTTACTGCACTGAGTTGGGTGCTAATTAGTACTGTAGGATCCTGCCCTGAGTTGGGTACTAATTTGTACTGTAGGATCCTGCCCTGAGTTGGATGATAATTTGTACAGTAGGATCCTGCCCTGAGTTGGGTACTAATTAGTACTGTAGGATCCTGCCCTGAGTTGGGTACTAATTTGTACTGTAGGATCCTGCCCTGAGTTGGATGATAATTTGTACTGTAGATTCCTGCCCTGAGTTAGGTGCTAATTAGTACTGTAGGATCCTGCCCTGAGTTGGGTACTAATTAGTACTGTAGGATCCTGCCCTGAGTTGGGTACTAATTAGTACTGTAGGATCCTGCCCGGAGTTGGGAACTAATTAGTACTGTCGATTACTGCACTGAGTTGGGTACTAATTTGTACTGTAGGATCCTGCCCAGAGTTGGGTACTAATTAGTACTGTCTGTTACTGCACTGAGTTGGGTGATAATTTGTACAGTAGGATTCTGCCCTGAGTTAGGTACTAATTAGTACTGTCGGTTACTGCACTGAGTTGGGTACTAATTAGTACTGTAGGATCCTGCCCTGAGTTGGGTACTAATTTGTACTTTAGGATCCTGCCCAGAGTTGGGTACTAATTAGTACTGTCGGTTACTGCACTGAGTTGGGTGATAATTTGTACAGTAGGATTCTGCCCTGAGTTGGGTACTAATTTGTACTGTAGGATCCTGCCATGAGTTGGGTACTAATTAGTACTGTAGGATCCTGCCATGAGTTGGGTACTAATTTGTACTGTAGGATCCTGCTCTGAGTTGGATGATAATTAGTACTGTCGGTTACTGCACTGAGTTGGGTACTAATTTGTACTGTAGGATCCTGCCCTGAGTTGGGTACTAATTTGTACTGTAGGATCCTGCCCAGAGTTGGGTACTAATTAGTACTGTCGGTTACTGCACTGAGTTGGGTGATAATTTGTACAGTAGGATTCTGCCCTGAGTTGGGTACTAATTAGTACTGTAGGATCCTGCCCTGAGTTGGGTACTAATTAGTACTGTAGGATCCTGCCCTGAGTAGGATCCTGCCCTGAGTTGGGAACTAATTAGTACTGTCGGTTACTGCACTGAGTTGGGTACTAATTTGTATTGTAGGATCCTGCCCTGAGTTGGGTACTAATTTGTACTGTAGGATCCTGCCCTGAGTTGGGAACTAATTAGTACTGTCGGTTACTGCACTGAGTTGGGTGATAATTTGTACTGTAGGATCCTGCCCTGAGTTGGATGATAATTTGTACTGTAGGATCCTGCCCTGAGTTGGGTACTAATTAGTACTGTAGGATCCTGCCCTGAGTTGGGAACTAATTAGTACTGTCGGTTACTGCACTGAGTTGGGTACTAATTAGTACTGTAGGATCCTGCCCTGAGTTGGGTACTAATTTGTACTGTAGGATCCTGCCCTGAGTTGGGTACTAATTAGTACTGTCGGTTACTGCACTGAGTTGGGTGATAATTTGTACAGTAGGATTCTGCCCTGAGTTAGGTACTAATTTGTACTGTAGATTCCTGCCCTGAGTTGGGTAATTACTGTATTAGTACTAATTAGTACTGTAGGATCCTGCCCTGAGTTGGGAACTAATTAGTACTGTCGGTTACTGCACTGAGTTGGGTACTAATTAGTACTGTAGGATCCTGCCATGAGTTGGGTACTAATTAGTACTGTAGGATCCTGCCATGAGTTGGGTACTAATTAGTACTGTAGGATCCTGCCCTGAGTTGGATGATAATTTGTACAGTAGGATCCTGCCCTGAGTTAGGTACTAATTTGTACTGTAGATTCCTGCCCTGAGTTGGGTACTAATTTGTACTGTAGGATCCTGCCCTGAGTTGGGTACTAATTTGTACTGTAGGATCCTGCCCAGAGTTGGGTACTAATTAGTACTGTCGGTTACTGCACTGAGTTGGGTGATAATTTGTACAGTAGGATTCCTGCCCTGAGTCAGTTATTAATTAGTACTGTGGGATTCTGCCCTGAGTAGGGTACTAATTTGTACTGTGGGATCCTGCCCTGAGGATCTCGCCCATCCTCAGAGTTCACAGGGACACCCATAGTGACTTCTAGCACATTATATTGTTATATTGTAAAGAAATGAATAAATCTATTTTAGGTCAGGAATCTTCTGTACAAGACATTTTCAATTCTGATGAGGAATCTTCTCTACTAGCCTTGTACGATGAAGAAGACATGTTTACTTCCAGCATTGGATTAGAAACAGCCTTCGAAGAAACATCCTCAACTATTGAAAGGCATGACATACAAACAAATGCAGAGAGGCAGACTGTATTAGAATTAGTTGACACATTTATTTCAGAGGTACCCTTTGTTATGTTGAAAACATTGATTGTCTAGAAAGCCCATCTTCCCACTATAGGAGGTTTAAATTGTAATTGTCCTTTGTCTGGTGTTGATCTTTCTCATATCTATATGTATATTTAATTTTGTAGTGTCAAATTAAGAAAAAGAATTTTCTGAGGTGTCCGTCGTGAATTATAAAATTAAATGTTGGTTATTTTCTTAGTTGAATAGTGAAACCTCATGTTTCATTCACCTGTCAATAGGACAAATAAATTGAATGAAGTAGAGAAAACAATGAAACTTTCCTGAAAACATTTAAGATCATATGGCTGTGTTAAGATTTGTTGAGGCCTATAAATTTTATTTTATCAAAAAGCTATCTCTTAAATCTTTTTTTTTATTTATTTTTTGCTAATTTATTTTAATTTTAATTTTTTTTCCCCCAAAGCTCCCAAAAGCAACAATCAAGTACTTTTCAGTACAGTAACAAGTGCTTGTTTTAAATTGAAAATGTATTTATAGATACATTTCATCCTTTTGTATTACTTTGTTGGTGACTTTCAGGACACTTTTGACTTTAGTGATGAATTTTCCTGCCAAGGAGATCAGTCGATGGATGACTTTGAAAATGTCTCTCTTTCTCCACCTCGCCAGTCTTCAGTCGGTGATGAAGACGATGCTGATGACAATTTGCCTCTCTCTCCACCTCGCCAGTCTTCAGTCGGTGATGAAGATGATGCTGATGACAATTTGCCTCTTTCTCCACCTCGCCAGTCTTCAGTTGGTGATGAAGATGACAATGTTTCTCTTTCTCCACCTTGCCAGTCTTTAGTCGGTGATGAAGATGATGCTGATGACAATTTGCGTCTTTCTCCACCTCACCAGTCTTCAGTTGGTGATGAAGATGACAATGTTTCTCTTTCTCCACCTTGCCAGTCTTTAGTCGGTGATGAAGATGATGCTGATGACAATTTGCGTCTTTCTCCACCTCACCAGTCTTCAGTTGGTGATGCTGATGACAATTTGCGTCTTTCTCCACCTCACCAGTCTTCAGTTGTTGATGAAGATGACAATGTTTCTCTTTCTCCACCTCGCCAGTCTTCAGTCGGTGATGAAGACGATGCTGATGACAATTTGCCTCTTTCTCCACCTTGCCAGTCTTCAGTCGGTGATGAAGATGACGCTGATGACAATTTGCCTCTTTCTCCACCTCGCCAGTCTTCATTTGATGATGAAGATGACGCTAATGACATAATTCCTAACACGTGCGATGAAGATGATGACAATGATATGTCTGTACCTGTTCTTCATCCACTTTCCTCTTTGGAGCCTCAGGAAGAGTCTACTCCCTCTCTTTGTATGTCGCCAGTTTTCCCTGATATAACAATGCCATTTGACATGCAAGCCCAGGCAGGTGGGAAACCAGCTGAGAAGTTCACTGTTAGTGCTTCAGAAATGTTTGACTCAGAGGATGAATTTAGTGTTCCAGATTTAGATTTGAAAGCCTTTGAAGACAGCAATGATAAAGTAGACGAGGAATCATCTGAGAATGCAAAAGATGTAGAGGAAATTGAATGTGATGATACTAGTCCATTACAACATATGGAAGGAATTGATAGTGATTGTAATGAGGACTGCGGCATGTCTATCAGTGTTACACCTCAACCTGATGATGTCAGTTTGCAGTCAACCACAGGCATAAAGAAACGTAAATTGTTTAATATTGGTGACCTGGAAATGGATGAAATTCCATTACCAAAGCGATCAAGAACAAAACATCCAAGTAGACCAGATTTTCCGAAAATTTCGCCAGCCAGCAAGTTAAAAAAGGCCTTTGATGATGACTTGTCCATCAGTACCCAGTGCCCTCTCTTAGCAAATGTCAACGAAAGCCAATTCAACAATGCATCCAAACAATTTCTTTCCACAGAAAAGAATTCGGAAAGTTCAGCTAAAAAGAGAAAAGCTAAAGAATTTTTGGTAAATGTTAAAGCTAAGTTGATGAAATACAAAACAAAGAAACAAACAACACTGTCTCAGTCAGAATCTGTCCAATCTAGTCAGGAAACTCCTGGTGAAATTCCTTCAGCTGGTTCAGTTCAGCGACGCAGTCTCACTGAGGCTGAAATTTCTAGTAACAGAATAGCTGATTACTTGACAAGGTATGTAAACACAAGGCAATGAAATATCTAGTCTAAATTATAGCCTTTGAGATTTGAAAGGGAAAGGATGTTTCAAAAGGTTAGAAAAAAATTTTTTGGTTTTATTGTATAACATATTGCGGCAACACCTTTGTGTATTTAGGTAATATTCTATGCTAATGTTCACACCAATTAGTGAAAGTTTGGGGAGGAGGATTATCCTAATCACCTTCTCCATGTAAGTAACTTTATATACAAGATAGGTCATGACCCCATGGGCAGGGGTTAGATTATACTTATATCTGAACAGTTTTTGATTTTCGATAATCATTGGTCAAGATTAAAAGTCTAAGGCCCATTTTGAAATCAGAAGCTTGTGTGCAAGATATCTCACAATCTCCTCAACAGATGAAGTTTATATTCACACCATCTAGTTTGACACCAAATTATATCTGGGTGGTCATTATTTGAAATATTCAGAGTATGTATGCTTTGTGGTATTAATGTCTGTTAAGCTGTAATTGTTGGTTTATGAAATGATCAAACAATCAAATGTTGTACATATTTATCATATGATAAGCCTAGGGGATGAACACATGGCTCTTAATTACTCAAAGACAGTGGATGGGTTTGTTAGGTAAGGGACAATGAAATTGCATGGGTTTATGTTAAATGTTGTCAGACTGCACAGTAGTTTGTATAGAAGTGGGCTTATTGCTTTGTAAGTATGGTTTTGTCAGATTGGGTATGATCTTGATTTTGGTATTGAATGTCATTTGTGAGGTTTTACAATCCAGTCTTGGTGAATTTAACACCTTGAATGTTAATATTTACAGATGTAAAAGTGTCGTTAGCAGGCTTCGTGAAGCTCTGGATGGGCACAAACTCGGCACCTTCCCGAGAGTGTCCCAATGGAGGTATGTAGATAAAGGATCTCTACACGAGTCAACATTTCATTTTATATTTATCATACAAGGCTAAGATTTTTTCATTTTGAGGTGAGGTCACATGAAAACTTTGTGACAAGATGAAATGGAAACTAATGCAAGATTCTGTTTCTCACTTAAGATAGCTGTATAAGCTTTTAAACATAGGTCCTTGAGGTCATATTACATGTCATGGCCGAATTGGTGTAATGTGTGTTATTTCCCCAAAATAAGGAGTAGATTTGTGGTTTATATGCCTTTAGGGTTCAGTTTCCTCTTTTGATTAAAAGATTTACTGGTAGTATCAGGGGATCCTAGACTCTTTCGTTTTCATGATTTCTTGTGAATCTTGTTGAAGTTTCATGATTTGCTGGAAAACTTGTCTTCAGGAACGACTTGTTGGGGATAGAAGAAAAAATGGTGTTACCAAACACGACCATCGCTGTTGTCGGAGATACAGGTTCAGGGAAGTCAAGTCTGATGAATGCAGTGATAGACCAACACAACACTCTGCCTACCTCAGGGATGAGGGCCTGTACAGCTGTTGTAGTGGAGGTCCTTGCTAACACTACTAGTGACAACTACGAGGCAGACATCAAATTTCTGTCTCGCAAGGTAAATCAAAGTGTCACTCCTCAATATAGGAATGGTATGATTAAACTACACTCAAGATTACTACATCAATAGAGTGTTTACTTCCTCAGTAAAGTGTTTACTTCATCAGTAAATCATCAGTAAAGTGTTTACTTCATCAGTAAATCATCAGTAAAGTGTTTAGTTCATCAGTAAATCATCAGTAAAGTGTTTAGTTCATCAGTAAAGTGTTTAGTTCATCAGTAAATCATCAGTAAAGTGTTTAGTTCATCAGTAAAGTGTTTACTTCATCAGTAAATCATCAGTAAAGTGTTTAGTTCATCAGTAAATCATCAGTAAAGTGTTTAGTTCATCAGTAAATCATCAGTAAAGTGTTTAGTTCATCTTCATCAATAAAGTGTTTACAGTAATCAGTAAATCATCAGTTTTACTTCATCAGTAAATCATAAATCATCAGTAAAGTGTTTAGTTCATCAGTAAAGTGTTTAGTTCATCAGTAAAGTGGTTACTTCATCAATAAAGTGTTTACTTAATCAGTAAAGTGTTTACTTCATCAGTAAAGTGTTTACTTCATCAGTAAAGTGTTTACTTCATCAGTAAATCATCAGTAAAGTGTTTACTTCATCAGTAAATCATCAGTAAAGTGTTTAGTTCATCAGTAAATCATCAGTAAAGTGTTTAGTTCATCAGTAAAGTGTTTACTTCATCAGTAAATCATCAGTAAAGTGTTTAGTTCATCAGTAAATCATCAGTAAAGTGTTTAGTTCATCAGTAAAGTGTTTACTTCATCAGTAAATCATCAGTAAAGTGTTTACTTCATCAGTAAATCATCAGTAAAGTGTTTACTTCATCAGTAAAGTGTTTAGTTCATCAGTAAATCATCAGTAAAGTGTTTACTTCATCAGTAAATCATCAGTAAAGTGGTTACTTCATCAGTAAATCATCAGTAAAGTGGTTACTTCATCAATAAAGTGTTTACTTAATCAGTAAAGTGTTTACTTCATCAGTAAAGTGTTTACTTCATCAGTAAATCATCTGTAAAGTGTTTAGTTCATCAGTAAATCATCAGTAAAGTGAGCTTGATGTTGAGACAGAGTGCGACAGTTTCAATGATATTCTCATCATTCCATGACAGTCTAGTTTTTATGTATAAGAGTGGTGGGAGATAAATGTAAAATATAGTATTTTATGAAATGAATTTTTGTGGCCTTGCCATTTTTTACTTGTTCTATGTTACCCATGTTCATTCCAAATGAATACTTTTTACAATTGCAAATTCATTTCTGAAAGCATTTTGAGTTTCATTATCAAAGTCACTGCTTCTCTTAAAGAGATTTGTCAAACATTTAAACTTATGTAGGCATTTGAGTGTGACGCATTCATGTTTTACATTTTGTAGTTTATTTGCAATTAAAACTCTGATTGGTTGAGAAAAACTAATGACCAGTGAAAGATTTGGATTTCTCATGATTTCAACAGGAGTGGTTTGATGAGCTTAAATTGCTGATATCTGACTTGACAACTGCTGACGGGAAGCTGAAGAAGAGTGTGCCTGACCTTGAGTCAGAGGCTGGAGTGGCTCTCCTCAAGGTCAAGGCTGTGTATGGTAAGGTCGACACTGTGGCAGTTCTGTCACATCTTACTGCTGTCACAAGGATGTTGGACAAAGTCAAAACCATCAGGGCTACCAATGTAAGTCTACTAAAACTCGGTTCTTTATAATTATAAATGACAGTCTGAACATTTATTGCAGAGAATACTCTTTAATGAATTATAGGAGTTCCAAGATTTCCTTACTATTGGTGGAAATAATGTTTTCTTGTACTTTCAAGTGTTTGCAAATTAGAAAATAATATTTTCTTGTACTTTCAAGTGCTTGCAAATGAGGAAATTATGTTTTCTTGTTCGTTCAAGTAGGTTTCTCAACGAAGTTGTGTGATCAAAAGTTTGTGATGATTGATAACAATAAATTGTACTTGTGTTTAGCCAAAAGACTTCCGACGACTGATTGATCGTTATATAGAGACAGCTGATCCAGGAGCCGGTGGTCAGTTTTGGCCAATCGTGAAGCAAGTTACCATACGCATGCCAGACTGTGATGCCTGCAGCAGTGGGGCTGTCCTTGTAGATCTTCCTGGTGTATGTGATTCAAACGCGGCCCGTGACCGCATAGCCAGAGAGGTGAGGACAAATTAATACAATACATGTAGCCACAGAAAACGTGGAATCATTTATTGATTTCTGACAGTTCTAATCAATAGTAATCAGGTAAGCACTTCGATGTATATTTTAGTAGCAGCGATGACAGTTTAAAAGTTGAAATATCTCACATGAATTTGGATTAGATATCTTTTCAGCCTTCTTTTACTTCTAATAGAAAAAATGCTAGATTGATAAAAGTTACTAAATGTTTGCTGTAAATCCGCATCCAACTAAGGTATCCATGCTGTAAACATTCACAGCAATAATTGATGTTTCGAAATTTTATTTAACATAAACTTGCTTAATTTGCTACAATCTAGATTACATGAATGATCATTTACTGACATTTCAACTCAATGATGAATTTATGCATTTGGAATAATTATCGTATGCACATTATACAGAAAATATCATTAGTAAAAAGATGGTAACTGCTAAAATATTTACAGTGATAGTATATGTCTTACAGTAATCCTTCATAAGCAAGTGTTAGAGTGAACATTTAGACTTATCACCTTTAACTTTTTATTCCGTTGAATATTTTATGATAATTTGGCTGATTGTGTTTAACAAATCTTTTAAGTAGATTTTAAGTTCTATTAATGGTAATTGAAATAAATGTCTTGTGTATTTTATTTCAGTACCTTAAAAACTGTACAGTCGTGTGGGTAGTAGCTGCCATACACAGAGCAATCAATAACAAGACGGCCAAAGACATGCTTGGAGAAAACTTTCGGCGACAGCTTCTTATGGATGGACAGTACGGCAGTGTAGCATTCATTTGTACCAAGTCAGATGACCTCATGCCATCGGAGTTAATCAGGTATAGCCTCCTTAATTATGCCCATAATTTCACATTTCTTACACTCAGAAATTCTCAGAGTTAATCAGGTGTAACCTTTTTAGTTACACCCTTGATTTCACATCTGTCTCCATCAGAAAGTTCATAACTTTGGAATTAAATAAATCCCTCTTAATCACACTCTATAATTGTCAAAATGCCCTAAGGCAGTTGTCACCTAGTGACCGTACCAATAGGACAACAGTTTGATTTTATTACACCAAGAAAAAGAATAGTATGTTTCCACCTGGGATCGAACCCATGACCTCCAGGTCTCTAGGCGGATGCTTTACCACTGAACTAAAGGAAAATTCCCCCAGGGTTAAACTAGTGGTTGACCATGATCCTATGTAAAAATAAAAGCTGTCACCAAATTATGCCCGGAGGGCCAATAAGACGTAACATCTTGCTCAAATAAGAGCATTCTCAATTTTAAAACCCTCAATTGACATGTTCCAGGCGTGCAGAGAGTTATAGTGATCATAAACCCTGGAGTATCGAGGATGAATTGGGGGCGTTGACTAAATACATGAAAGTGAAACAGCATATGGTGTTATTTATACTATAACAGCAATAAACGATGGTGAGCTTGTTACCAGGCATAGGATTTTTGTTTGATAAATACAGTTAGTGATGTTAGATTGAGACTTCTAAACCCTACTGAAACCTTTTACCAGTATTGAGATACCTAGTGGGTGGTCGGGTGATGCATTGGTAACATACTCGCCTTTCACTTAGCCGTCCAGGGTTCGATTCCCTGAATGGAAGTGAAAAGGTATGTGGTCACCTGCCAGACCACGTGGGTTTTCCCTGGGTACTCCGATTTCCTCCCACACTAAGACCCCTCGTGCGCTTCCATCCGAGCCAACAAGAATGATTTATATCAGTTGGAAAAACTTGCTTCGCAATTGTTGTAAAATAAACATAAAGTTTATTATTATTATTGAGATACCTTGATAAGTTTTCTGGTGTAGGCATAAACTTACTGTTTATATTTTGCTTACAAGGAACCTTCATCTGGAGGATGTTTGCGAACCTTTGGAAAACGAGATACAATCGTTGTTAATGGAAAAGAAAGACGCTAATAAAACTGTAAATAGACTCAAGAAGGAAATTCGCACTGTTAAAAAGGAAATCAAGGAACTGACCACTGGCATAGCCGACTTGAAGGAAACCATGGAGATGACCTATGTCCTGGATGGGGATGTCATTGACCTTGACAGTGAAGGGGTAATGAGCAACAATTTGACCTTACCTAACATTGTATAACACATGTGCATTAAATTTTGGCTTTGAAAATAAAAAACAAGAATTTGATATTTTCATGAATGATTTGTAGAAATTACTGTATACATACATGTTTCGGTGCAATAAAATTTTAAAATGAAATCAACTTTTTGCAAATTAAGGCAAAGATGAATGTGAATACTCAAAATAATTTCTCTGTAAACAATATACAGACACTACATAGAATACTCTCTGTGTGACAATCTCTCATCAGACTACTGTGACAGTAACATGCAATAGTTGAATGAAGAAAGTTCATGCAAATCTATTGATTTTTTTTTTTTGCCTTTTAAACTAACATGTGTGATAACATCTCAATATTGCTGACAGTGTTGATGTTTTTTGTAATGTTGTAGGCAGATGGGTTGGAATCCCTGGAGGAACTAAGACAAGTTGTACAGGACAAAGAGGAGTCTTTAAAGGTGATACAGAGGGAAAAGACAGACAAGGAAAGGGGGATGGACCAGGCTACTCGTGAGGTAAGTATTGACACTTGGGAAGGGTGGGGGATGGACCAGGCTACTCGTGAGGTACGTATTGACACTGAGGTAGGGTGGGAAATGGGCCAGCCTACATATGAGATAAGTATTGACACAAGGGGAAGGGTGGGAGATGGACCAGGCTACATGGGGAGGGTGGGAGATGGACCAGGCTACATGGGGAGGGTGGGAGATGGACCAGGCTACATGGGGAGGGTGGGAGATGGACCAGGCTACATGGGGAGGGTGGGAGATGGACCAGGCTACATGGGGAGGGTGAGAGATGGACCAGGCTACATGGGGAGGGTGAGAGATGGACCAGACTACATGGGGAGGGTGGGAGATGGACCAGTCTACATATGAGATAAGTATTGACACTTTGGAAGGGTGGGAGATAGACCAGGCTACCTGTGAGGTAAGTATTGACACTGAGGGAGGGTGGGAAATGGGCCAGGCTACAGGGGAAGTAAATAATGACACAAGGCTAGGGTGGGGGATACATCAGACCATACGTGAAGTGAGTATTGACACTAGGGTAGGGTGGAGGAATGGACCAGATAACAGATAGTGAATATTGACACTGGGGTATAGACCAGGCTACGTGTGAGGTGAGTATTGACACTGGGTAGGGTGAAGGATAGACCAGATAACACAGATATTGAGTATTGACACTTGGGTATAGACCAGGCTACCCAAGATTGACCTGTGGGTGTCCCTCCCAACATCTGTCCTCATATGATCCTGGCTGTTGCAAAGATGTTAAAACCAATTAAAAAACAAAAAAATAAAAGGCCAATACATAATGTAATTTAATAGTTTGGTAATGGCACATACAAGTCGTTTTAATATGAAATTTTCAAAGTAAGATTTCATTGTTAATGCTAATCATATGTTACATTTGACCTTTGATATTAAAAAGCATGTTATGGTATACCACATGACTACCACACTACACATCCATGCCATTTTCATCTGTCATATTTACATGTTTGTTCAGTCTCTGGAAATCGACAAGAAAATTGATATAAAAAGAAAGGAGATAGCAGTGATATGTGCCAATGCCAGGAATGAGTACTCCAAATCTACTATCAAGCGAGACTTCAAGGCTGGACTTCGGGTTAGTTCAATACTATCATCCCTACATTAATGAAATGTTAAAGGTCATTCTGTAAAAATTTCATTGTGGAATCTTCAACAACATATTCATATTCTAAGTCATAATATCCGTTGTAGACAGCTTACAATAATTAAATTTATCTGAAGCTTAACTACTTAGATATTTTACAGAATGATAAAATTTATTGAAGATGGGCAAATTCTTGCAGTTTAAGACATTTTTATACCTGTCATGGCTTCAATACTGGAGATCTCCAGTTTGAAGTTTTTTCACAGACTGTTGGTGAGGTTTCCGAAATTCTATCATGTTTATGTTTAGACATGTAGCAGACATCATTGTTTATTTCAATGCCTGTGCTAGGATTCAGAGCCGGGACTCTTGGCATGTTAGTCTGATGATTAACAGATTGGTCTAAAGAGAAGTTCTTTTTAGCCAAACTGTATATTGCGACTAGTGTTTATACATGTTACATACTACCACTCCAGGAAATAATTCATCCTCAAGTTTCTAGAGGTTACAGCGATACTTAAGAAAGTGTTACTGAGTATCATTCTTAGGTCCCAACCTGGGTGTCACTGTAACAGAGATCATTATTTATTTTCAATGCCACTGTTAGGATTTGAGCCTGAGACCCTTGGTTTACTAGCCTCATGCTCAATTGATCAAACTAAAGAGAAGTTCTCCCTAGCTTAGCGGTATATTGTGGCTAGTATTTCACCAGGGTTTCAAACATCTTATTATAATCTTGTATGCTGTACCTATTCTATAATCAACTCAGTGTATGAATGAAAAATATTTAAGCGAATATGTATTCATTTAGTAAATGAAAAATATTATTCAATGGAAAACACTTAGTTTAATATTATTCAATAAATTATTTGAGATAATAGAATCCGTTTTCAAAATTCTTCTGTTTGGTATCAAAATTTTATCTTTGAGATAACCTTATTTAATGAAACAAAACTTCAGGCCCAGGGGAAAAAATGGACACTAAACAGGTATCCATATTCAGATGTTTTAATGTGAATTGAAAAATTCCCAATGCAAAATAGTATCTTTTTTTCAATTTAGATACCCTTCTAAGGAAAACACCATTATTTTTCCATCTTCCCTATTGATACCCTGATTCCATCTTCAGCGTAATGATTAATCACAATTTTGTTTTATATCGGACTTGTTTTGAATAATAAGTACATTTTAAATAGAAAATTGATTTCTTTGTGCCCTTGATCAGGAGATGAAAAGAAAGGCGGGACTGACTAATGCTGATGAGGACGATGAGATGGAAGATGAGGACCAGGATTACAATAGTGATTATGATGATGATGAGATGAGTCAGACTGCTGAAAATCTGAGAGTGTTCTGTGTCAGCTCCATGGAGTACCAAAAGATGAAGAACCTCTTGCCCAATGATGGCCCAGCAAATGTAACTTCCCCTGGTTTTTTAAAATTATACTTTAATAAGTTGATATGTGTATGATTTTCCACAGAAACAATTGTATCTAGGCATAGTCAGCAGCTCCAGTCTGTGATTGGTGTGGCATAGTTGTACTATACCCCCAAGTCTTCTAACTAGGCAACAAATTATCAACATTTAATATCTTAAAAATCAATATTTCTTTCACCTGGCCTCTCGGTCACGAGTTCGAGACCTAAGTGGGGCGGGCGCCAGGTACTGGTCGCAGGTCTGTGGTTGGTCTCTGGAAACTCTGACTTTCCTTGACCACCCAAGCATGGCACATCCTTAAATAACTCTGGCTGGTGATTGGATGTAAAGAAATAACGAACAGTAAAACTGTTATAGCAGGTATCGCCTAAACAGCTAATTGGATGAAGTATTTTTATACATTTCATCGCTGATGCAATTCAAACTGTCTTTTTAGCCCACCATCTGATGAGTACAGTGTATCCATAGTCGGTCCATCCAATAGTTTTAGCCTATTTCAGGAACTACATAGAATCTACTTGATTTTTTATAAGCAATTTCAGAATGGGTCTAGCTCTACATGATGAGTTTGCAAAGATCCCTTTATGACCTTTTGTGTTGGAACTCAGTTGTTTAAGAGATAATCGCAGTAAATCCTTTCATTGGTTGTTCCTTCATGTGTCATCAGATGTTCCTTCATGTGTCATCAGATGTTCCTTCATGTGTCATCACATGTTCCTTCATGTGTCATCAGATGTTCCTTCATGTGTCATCAGATGTTCCTTCCTGTGTCATCAGATGTTCCTTCATGTGTCATCAGATGTTCCTTCGTGTGTCATCAGATGTTCCTTCATGTGTCATCAGATGTTCCTTCATGTGTCATCAGATGTTCCTTCATGTGTCATCAGATGTTCCTCCATGTGTCATCAGATGTTCCTTCATGTGTCATCAGATGTTCCTTCATGTGTCATCAGATGTTCCTTCATGTGTCATCAGATGTTCCTTCATGTGTCATCAGATGTTCCTTCATGTATCATCAGATGCACGCAGAAGTCTGTTGTGATTATTTACAATGGTTCTGTACCATAAGTATTGTATCCAGTTGTGAGTGACTTGTATTTGTAATTGTAAATGTGGTTCAGTGCTGTATAATTGTGTTTTTGAATGTGTATGCATTGTCGCAGATATCATTAAGTGTCAAATTCACTCAGGAAATTTGACGTTACAGTGACTAATGAAACAACATTATTTTCTTTTCATCTTAGCTTTGCTATCAATTTAGATTTCTCTTGGTTACTCATTGTAGATATTTAGTACTACAGAAGATACACAGATTCCGAAGCTGCGTCGCTACATCCATGAAGTGACGGCGTCAAGGCGACAACAATATGTAGACCGGTTGATCCGCACACTCGGACAGTTTGTGTTTGATGTGCAGAACTACATCATGGCGGATGGCACGACAGTATGTACACATTCCAGTCAAAGTCATTCCAAAAATAAATAAAGGTCACAAAGATAATCACCTGAGAAAAGGACTTATTTACTGTCACTGGGTCAAAACTCTTCACATGTACTCTGATATGATGCTAGAATAAAGATTATTGTCTCATCAACATAGAAAAAATTGTGAAAGAAATATTACATGCTTCTAATTTTCTGTTGGCAACGCCATGAACATTTTAGTTTAATCCATTAATATATTTCTTTTAAAATCTTTTGGCCATTTAAAGGAAGGGAAAAAGTTCTATTCTAACTAAACATTGAAAGATAGGTTGATGGAAATACTATGTGCTTTTAATTTTCTGCTGGCAGTAAAATCTTCCAATATAAGTAAAGGTTTGTAACCAAACTTGAAATAAAGGTTGATGTTATTGTGAACTTCTCAGTCCTGTAATCATTGAGAGAATAATGATGAGATGTTTACAGTACAGACTTTGAGAATTAAGAATGTGAAATGTTAATTGTACTGAAAAATGATTGTGTTTCATTTATTTTTCAGAAAGTTGAAATACAATTCCAGTCAAACCTTTTTGATCATGGGAATTTTATGTATTTGATTTGTGTAAGAGCCTTTTTTCTTCAAGAAATGACTGTGAAGGTTTCGTGGTTTAGGCTCATTGCTTCAGATTGGTTGAAAAGTCATGACAAAACCTTTCATATAGGTTTTTTCCTTAAATTGTACCAAAGCTGAATTTTGAGGGCTAGAAATGTTGAAGTGAATATCAGTAGGAGGGATTTCATGAAATTTGAGGCTTACATTTGAAGATTGTCAATACTCAAACTTTGAAAACAATGTGATGCCTGTTTGGAATTACTAAGTGGTTGTTATGGAACTTTGGTCACATTCCCTCTTCTGTTGTATTTTGTATTTAGTTGATCAAATATAGGTCAGAGGTCACTGTCAAGGTCACATAGTCTAAAAGTTTGGTAAACAATTTTGATGCCACTAGAAAAATCAGGTCACAAGTAACACACTCGCCAAATATGAAAGTCCTACCTCTTATGGTGCAATAGTTATGGGCAAGGTCAAAGTTGACAACAGAAAAACAGACGCCACAAAAACAATATACCCACAATCTTTTGATTTGGGGGTATAAGGGAAAAAAGCTTTGCTTGGGATGATAGAAAAATTGGTATAGATGAGAATTATGAGTAACTCTGGTGTCATGTTTTAGTGTAAGGGAACTCGGAGGGATGCCAAGTCAACTGTAGAAGAAAACTGTAAGGACTTGGAGGGAAAGTTTGAGCCAGTGTTATCTCATCTGAGTCAAGACATTGAAGAGATCTTCTGCAACAGTATAGAGACCAAGATGACAGATGGAGTCAACTCAGCAATATCCTCGGCCAATGAAACGGTCTCCAAATGGGGAGCTAAGGTAAACAACTGAGGTATCCTTGATCTCTGTCGATGATACTGTCTCCAGGTGGGGAGCTAAGGTAAATAACTGAGGTATCCTTGATCTCTGTCGACGATACTGTCTCCAGGTGGGGAGCTAAGGTAAACAACTGAGGTATCCTTGATCTCTGTCGACAATACTGTCTCCAGGTGGGGAGCTAAGGTAAATAACTGAGGTATCCTTGATCTCTGTCGACGATACTGTCGCCAGGTGGGGAGCTAAGGTAAACAACTGAGGTATCCTTGATCTCTGTCGACAATACTGTCTCCAGGTGGGGAGCTAAGGTAAACAACTGAGGTATCCTTGATCTCTGTCGACAATACTGTCTCCAGGTGGGGAGCTAAGGTAAACAACTGAGGTATCCTTGATCTCTGTCGACAATACTGTCTCCAGGTGGGGAGCTAAGGTAAATAACTGAGGTATCCTTGATCTCTGTTGATGATACTGTCTCCAGGTGGGGAGCTAAGGTAAATAACTGAGGTATCCTTGATCTCTGTCGACAATACTGTCTCCAGGTGGGGAGCTAATGTAAATAAGTACGGTATCCATGATCTCTGGATACTGTCTCCAGGTGGGAAACTAAGGTAAATAAGTATGGTATCCATGATCTCTGGATACTGTCTCCAGGTGGGAAACTAAGGTAAATAAGTACGGTATCCATGATCTCTGGATACTGTCTCCAGGTGGGGAGCTAAGCTAGGAAAAAACAAACGTTGATCTCTGCAGAATGTTGAAAAATAATTTCTACAAATTTACAAAGTTTACCAAGGAAATATCTCATCTTAATTCTGTGATTCACTTTGATTTTGCAAATATTTTCTTTTGATAACTTACCTCTTCAAAAATATTCGCGAATACTTGATACAGGTGATCTAGAAATTACTTTAAATTTGTGAATGATGAGCTGATAGATATATATTGGTAACCAAATCCGTATGGGTTTCATCATGAGTTATTTTTGTAATAATAGTCGCAAGGGTTTTGAATCCACAGCTAACTCTCCTCACATATTGATGGAAAAGTAAATTTTACACAAAAATAAAGTGATTTGAAATGTATGGAATATTATAGTTTTCAACATATTTTTTATTGTGAAATTTTTGCCCTGCCATAAATGCTGACTTAATCGTTAATGTTTTAGCAAAATAAAGAAAGGAAGTCGGATGGGGGACTTCATTGGAAGACATACCAGTGTGTTGTGAATCGCCATGGAGTATTCAACTCCAAAACCTACGGCCCCATCAACTTTAATGAACAGTTATCAGAGCCAATGTACAGATGTATCAGTGTGTGCTGGGACAAAGTTTTCAGGTGAGAAAATACAGTAAATTTCATTACATTTCTGTAATATTGTACGACAAATGACGTTAATGATCAAAGTTATAGATGCGACAGATTATTTTTGGCAGGAATTCTACTATTTTACCTGCCAAATATTCTAATGTGTATAAAATCATAAAGATAGTAATTAGGTCATCCAATTAGATTAAAAATTAACATGAACACTGTAAAATCACATATTTTTGTTGAGCTCAATTTTGACAGTTTTCAGAACGTTACAATTTGCTGACACTTCAACTTGTGAATAAATTTAGCTCAATATATTTACTTATACTTATTGAACAGTTCATGGACATATGAATTGATGGATTACAATTCAATCAATGGTTAGTAAATCAATATATAACATCACTCCCCTTGAAAATTGATTTTGGCAGTAGGTGATAGTGTGTAGTGTGCTGCTGGTTTCTCGAAAATTTCAGTCACGTATTGCCAGATTGTAGATGTCCAAACTGTACATTTGATTTATAATTTTTAGGTCATCTGACCGATGGGTCTGATGACCTATTGCGGTCGACTTTTGTCCAGCATCGTACATCTTACGCAGTACATGTCCGCCGTAAACATTTTCAACTTCTTCTCAAGTTCTACATGTCTCATTGAGCTGAAACTTACCTGAAGTAATTGTGACATGATCCTGACCAAAGTTTGTTAATTTTGGGTTGGTCCAAAATCCAACATGGCTGCCATCTTCAAAACACATTTTCGACTTCTTCTCAAGTTCAAAATTTGAAATCTTGTATTTTATGTCAGATGACCGTTAAGACCCATGGGCCTCTTGTAAGATTTAGTGGTGTGCTACATAGAATATGTAGTGTTATTGTTGAGGCAGCATTAACGAAGAATAAAGTAATTCAATAGCAACGCCAGCATCAATGTGGGACTTTTAGCCTCAAAGTGAAAACTGCTGTACTTTGCATGATGTATTTTCACAGTGGCTTGCTTTGGAGAACTCTAGAGGATTGCGAGAGTCTCTTGCTTATTACTCTCACAGTGTTTGTGAGGGAGTTGTGTGAAAAACTTCAGACCTTAGAGGTACAAAGGAACCAGACTGATAGGGTCAGCACCCAACTGTGCCATAGTACTAAGGACAAGGTAAGAATCAACAGACATGTTTAAGAATAATTTAATACCAAATTTGTCATTGCTGGTAGACATCTACAGAATTACTGTTGTTATATTTTGAGAATTACGGGATGGATCTTTCTTAAAATTCATCAGCTTTGTTTCATTGTGTTATAGCTGTCATTCATGGTGAACATCTTTCTTTTGTAGTTGGCCGAGATGCTGGCAAACCTGAAGGAGTTGGTTTTGTCTCGTCAGCGTGATATAAATCGAATAATTACTCCAGCTGTCCAGGTAGTCGGTGCTTTACATTGTTGATATTTTAAAAATTTCCAACATATTGTTTATCTTATTTCTAGGTCACACACATTTAATATGTAGTAATTTTGTTTTATCTTAAGATCAAGCTATAAACAATAATCTATTTACAGTTCATTTTCACAAGTTCATTTAAACTTTATTGTTATGACAATAGGTCCCACAGTGTAAAATTTCAGTAATTCCAGAAATTCTACACATCTTATTAGAATTCAATAATGTCTCTGGACTGGCATGTAGATTTATCACTGTACGATGAAAATCATAAAAACCTGAAATTAACTTTCATAAATGGATGTTTCAAAAAGTAATTATGACGCCCATCTCTCTGTTTCTATCTACACTTTCTTTTTACTAATAATATGATAGAAAAGTGAAATGTTGTTTAATCAATTTCAGGTATTTTACAGAAATTCACTGCACTACAAACTTTAAACTTTATCCTTCGACAAAGAATTAAGAAAAAAAGTTAGATCTGTTTTTCTGTAGATTGCAAATCTCTGAAAACCAATAAAAAAAAATTATTAGATGACCTCTGAAAGATGATATACAGTTTACGAAGCATTCTAAAACAATTTTGATAATTTAGATTCAATCTTGAAGGAACCTTTACATCCTAATACAACATACTCACTCTGACCATTTTGATCATAGGAAAATCTTGACCAGACTTACAATCTCTGCGAGTCTGAGGCGGGTAATGGGATGTTTACGAGAATTAAAGAGGCCATGGCAGGAGGGGTGGATTTCAAACGTCACAACATGTTTAGTGAGGCGTCGCTGTCACTTCTTCAGAACCTTGTACAGCTTAAGGTATCTATCATCTTAGCTAGTTCAGAAGTTTTGTAGTCCTGAATTTTGAAGATTACTGTAGCTATTTTCAAAGAATAGCTAAAGGGATCTTGCTTGTAATCAATGGATAAGCTCATCATGGGTCCTAGTTGTGTAGGTCATTTTTTGAATTTCATTGGATATTCAAGACAGTGGCCAGTGACTTCTTTGGATTTTGACATGTAAAGTTTGTTACCACCTCTTTTGCAGGATTACTTGTAGGAATCTTATTTAATATTAATAAACTTTATTTTACAACAATTGCAAAGCAAGTTATTGCAACTTATATTAATCACTCTTGTTGGCTCCGACTGAAGCGCGCGAGGGGTCTTAGTGTGAGAGGAAACCAGAGTATCCGGGGAAATTCCACCTGGTCGGGCAGGTGACCCCGTACCTTTTCATGTCCATTCTGGGAATCGAACCACGGATGGCTAGGTGAAAGACAAGTGCGTTATCACTGTGCCACCTTATCTAACATACTAAGTAATGATTCTCTTTCTGCATACCAACTATTGAGTATTGTTTGGTATTCAAAGTGGCAGCCATATCATCAATTCAATATATATCTGTAAACCTGGTTGATAGTAATGTACAGTTATGGCCTGTTACTGTTCCAGGATGATATAGTGTCACATGTGAGGTCGGTTTGTGCCTCACTGTGTCTTATGCTCCAGGCCGCATTTGAGCCATTGTGGGAAGCGCCCAGTCAAACAAAGCTGCTCAAGGATCACTTATTTGACAGTAAGTATGAAAAATATATAAGCAGGACTTAAGTATAGTTACAGGTTTATAATATCTAGTAAAGGGTTTAGTATAGTTACAGGTTTATAATATCTAGTAAAGGGTTAAGTATAGTTACAGGTCTATAATATATAGTAAAGGGTTTAGTATAGTTACAGGTTTATAATATCTAGTAAAGGGTTTAGTATAGTTACAGGTTTATAATATCTAGTAAAGGGTTAAGTATAGTTACAGGTCTATAATATATAGTAAAGGGTTTAGTATAGTTACATGTTTATAATATCTAGTAAAGGGTTTAGTATAGTTACAGGTTTATAATATCTTGTAAAGGTTTTAGTATAGTTACAGGTTTATAATATCTAGTAAAGGGTTTAGTATAGTTACAGGTTTATAATATAAAGTAAAAGGTTTAGTATAGTTACAGGTTTACAATATCTAGTAAAGGGTTAAGTATAGTTACAGGTTTACAATATCTGTTAAAGGGTTAAGGATAGTTACAGGTTTATAATATCTAGTAAAGGGTTAAGTATAGTTACAGGTTTATAATATCTAGTAAAGGGTTTAGTGTAGTTGCATGTTTATAATATCTAGTAAAGGGTTTAGTATAGTTACAGGTTTATAATATAAAGTAAAGGGTTAAGTATAGTTACAGGTTTATAATATCTAGTAAAGGGTTAAGTATAGTTACAGGTTTATAATATCTAGTAAAGGGTTTATATATTACAGGTTTACAATATCTAGTAAAGGGTTTAGTATAGTTACAGGTTTATAATATCTAGTAAAGGGTTTAGTATAGTTACAGGTTTACAATATCTAGTTAAAGGATTAAGGATAGTTACAGGTTTATAATATCTAGTAAAGGGTTAAGTATAGTTGCAGATTTACAATATCTAGTAAAGGGTTAAGTATAGATACAGGTTTATAATATCTAGTAAAGGGTTTAGTGTAGTTACAGGTTTTTAATATAAAGTAAAGGGTTTAGTATAGTTACAGGTTTATAATATCTAGTAAAGGGTTTAGTATAGTTACAGGTTTATAATATAAAGTAAAGGGTTTAGTATAGTTACAGGTTTATAATATCTAGTAAAGGGTTTAGTATATTTATAATATCTAGTAAAGGGTTTACAGGTTTATAATATCTAGTAAAGGGTTAAGTATAGTTACAGGTTTATAATATCTAGTAAAGGGTTAAGTATAGTTACAGGTTTATAATATCTAGTAAAGGGTTTAGTATAGTTACAGGTTTATAATATCTAGTAAAGGGTTTAGTATAGTTACAGGTTTATAATTTCTAGTAAAGGGTTTAGTATAGTTACAGGTTTATAATATAAAGTAAAGGGTTTAGTATAGTTACAGGTTTATAATATAAAGTAAAGGGTTTAGTATAGTTACAGGTTTATAATATCTAGTAAAGGGTTTAGTATAGTTACAGGTTTACAATATCTAGTAAAGGGTTAAGTATAGTTACAGGTTTATAATATCTAGTAAAGGGTTAAGTATAGTTACAGGTTTATAATATCTAGTAAAGGGTTTAGTACAGGTTTATAATATCTAGTAAAGGGTTTAGTTACAGGTTTATAATATCTAGTAAAGGGTTAAGTATAGTTACAGGTTTATAATATCTTGTAAAGGGTTAAGTATATTTACATGTTTATAATATCTAGTAAAGGGTTAAGTATAATTACATGTTTATAATATCTAGTAAAGGGTTAAGTATATTTACATGTTTATAATATCTAGTAAAGGGTTTAGTATAGTTACAGGTTTATAATATCTTGTAAAGGGTTAAGTATAGTTACAGGTTTATAATATCTTGTAAAGGGTTAAGTATAGTTACAGGTTTATAATATCTTGTAAAGGGTTAAGTATAATTACATGTTTATAATATCTAGTAAAGGGTTAAGTATAATTACATGTTTATAATATCTAGTAAAGGGTTAAGTATAGTTACATGTTTATAATATCTAGTAAAGGGTTTAGTGTAGTTACAGGTTTACAATATAAAGTAAAGGGTTTAGTATAGTTATGGCTTGATGATACCTAGAGAAGGGTTTAGTTTAGTTTTTCTTTGTCCCTTTACTAGGCATACCAAAACTTAGAAAAGTGTATAGAACCTGTACTGAATGCGACACAATTTCAAATAGATGGGTTGAGAATACATTCTTACCAGTAGTAATATATACAAGGGCTAGTTACTGATCCAACAGTCCAGGGTCTTTTTCAATTATGCAGACAATCAGTTTGTGAACATAATAATTTCAGCATAAATCATGACAGTCCTGCAAATACCTCAAAAGGCTTAATCGTAGCTTGTCAGAAAGAAAAATAAGATCAATAGGTCTGCTCTTATTTGATAAACAACTTTGTTCCAGTTGGTCAAACCGATAAACGAAAACAGACCAAATGATTGGTAGATATCTACTCAGGCAGCTCTCAACTAGATCTTTTACTTATTGTTGTTAAATTCTGACTGGATATGTACTTGACAGTGTTACCTTTGTCTGTCCGTCCCCTTCTTTTGTCATAGCCTGGGAACTTTTCAACAAATTTGGTTCATATTTTTCCCTACTGTATTATAACTTCAAGCTCTACACCTTGTCATACTAAGGTGATAATCTTTTGAGATCAAAAGATACTTACATGCATAAGAGCATGCATGTTTATTTATTACAGACGTTTTGTAGTTGTACACTGAGAAATTGTATGCATGGGATCGAGGACATTTATTTATAGCCATTTTCTATATACAGAAATTGTATGCTTGGGATCGGGGATGTTCATTTATAACCATTTTCTATATACAGAAATTGTATGCTTGAGATCGGGGATGTTCATTTATAACCATTTTCAATATACAGAAATTCTATGCATGGGATCTGGGATGTTCATTTATAACCATTTTCTATATACAGAAATTGTATGCATGGGATCTGGGATGTTCATTTATAACCATTTTCAATATACAGAAATTGTATGCATGGGATCAGGGACGTTCATTTATAACCATTTTCTACACATAGAAATTGTATGCTTGACTAGACACTGGATTTGTGTTTCAGGTGTCACAGAAGCAGTACTGGCCATGACTAGTCTCCACACTGATGCAAACCTTACCCTGCCTGTTGTACCATCCCAAGACTTGGAGCCTGATCAGGACATTCCTACAGCATCTGATCAGGTTTCAACTGAACAGGGTCCTTATGCTGATCGCTCCCTTCCTGGTCCCCCTGGCCTACAAGTTGCCACAACTACCTGTGTTGGTCCGCAAATGTATACTTCAACATATCGGACGACGCAGAAAATGGCGACAGGTGCCCATAGCAAGACTTGTCATGTTTCCATTGAAAAATCAAAGTCCACACAAGTTACGGATGTATTAAAGCACCTGAAACAGGAGCCAAGGTCTCCTAAACTGATGTCTCCATCTTCTATCAAAAAGGAGTGGGACCCCTCTAGTGAACTTACAGGTCAGTAGACACAACATTCAATTACCTACTAAGGTCATTTGCAAGTTAAAAGTAATATATTAATATAAAATAGATCCTTCCCTTTTTAGAGGTAAATAAACAACAAATATTTTCAATATTCTAAGAACACAATCGTGAAAGTGAATGAAAATCAGACTAAAACCTTGAGTACTGTAAGTCACTTATATTTCTCACAAGATTTATTTTCACACTGATTTGCGAGGAGAGCAAACGCGTATTTAAATCTCTCGTGGTTATTTGTACAAAACTCTTGATGACGTCCTTGTTACTCTATTGTTATCTCAACTTGCTTTTACAAAACTTCCATAGATTTTATTTACCTCTTCATATTATCACAAACAAATCAGAGTTTAAAAAATGGAAAATATGTATTTTATTGAATTACAAAATAAACAGTAAACGGAAAATCATCATAGAAGTTCCTATTGGGAAGACTACTGTATAATTAATGTAAACAGGCTTGTAATGTTAAACACTACACAATATGTGAAGCCTATTGAAACCCTGAAAATAAGTCATATCTGTCATGTCACTCTCCAAACATGAAAGCATATGGAGTGTTCATATTTGTTTCTTTTGTCTAAGTACTAGGCTGGACTCTGGTAGATACAATTTACAGTATCACATGACTGAATCACTATTCAGGTATTGTCACGTAACTCTCATTAGCAATGGTAGCCAATATTAAGCTATCAGCTGCTGAAACAGAAGCATTTTAGAGTCCATGACTTTTAATAGCTCATCATTCGCAAGTCCAAATTAATTTCTAGATTAGCGTTGGTGAAATGATACATTTGTTAATATGGCTGCAGAGATTAATTGTCGAAATAAAGTATTCGTGGAATCTTAAGTAATTTACAGTAAGAAAGATATATCAGTTCGTTGGTAATTTCACCTACTACTTATTATGGGAATCAGTTCTGGTCATGCAGGTATGCTCTCACTTGCTTTAATTTAAGAAGATATGAACATGTTACCTTTAATTTAGTGGACAGATAGAAGCACTGATGAAACCCTTTGATGATGAAGTAGACATTATGTGTACCTAGACTTACAACTTTTACCCCTCATCAGCTTGTTTATCATCCACAAACTGATAACACTGCCATTTATTTCATTCATATCATGCTTATGTGCTGGAACTGAGTTTACCTTGAGTGGTTGGAGGGCACATTGGTAGCCCATTCACCTTTGACCTAGGTAACAGGCGTTCAGGTCCCAGGTTGCCCTATTCGTGGGTTTTCCCGGAGTTTTCCATTTTATTCCCACAGTAGCCTTATCTACTTACATTCAAGTCAACAGGAATTGTTGATATAAGCTACAAGGTTATTGTGCCATTTATAAAATTGATAAAACAATTAAATGTGGAATTCTTTTCTTTTAGAAGTTTCAGGTCCTGAGTTGAGTTGGTTTCATAATGCCTTGCCTGACTTGGATTCATATACTGGCCAAGCTAGTCCCATGGGAATGCTGACAAGGTCCTCAACCATTACCCAGACTGTAGAACTCCCCAATTCTGGACTATCACCTGGAGAGTCCTCATCTATACACCAGACCCAGGCTAGAGGATCACCTCAGATCTCATCCACTATGCCACAAGCTAGTTCATGGTCTACTGGACATAATAGAAGTGGACTGTCACCCCGAATCACATCAACCACAACCAGGCCCCAAGCTAGTTCATGGTCTACTGGACCCATACAGTTTGGCCAATCACCCCAAGTCACATCAACCACAACCAGGCCCCAGGCTAGTTCATGGTCTACTGGACATAATACAGTTTGGCCAATCACCCCAAGTCACATCAACCACAACCAGGCCCCAGGCTAGTTCATGGTCTACTGGATCGGTTCAATTTGGCCAATCACCCCAAGTCACATCAACCACAACCAGGCCCCAGGCTAGTTCATGGTCTACTGGATCAGTTCAATTTGGCCAATCACCCCAAGTCTCAACAACCACAACCAGGCCACAAGCTCATTCACCATTTGTAGGACAAAGCAGATCTGAACGATCCTCTCAGATCTCATCTTCTGTAACACCTCACAAGGGCAAGATGTCCTCTGGATCAGCTGATCGGTTCAAATCAACAATAGTCAAGCCACAGACTACAGGAACCATAAGATCTAATGTACCACAATCTGTGCCTATACATTCACACAGGATTGTCATGACTAACAGTACTGCCACCATACCTGTCTGTCAATCACCTGACAGTATCATCAGGGTGCAAGGGAATATGGATCTTGGAAACAAATTGTGTTTTTCTGAAACTAGTGATGTAACTCAGAAGTCGAAACATTCCAGGATGTGTTCTGATGTTTTGAGGGATTTGCTGAATTCACCACTAGAAACATCTTCAGCATGTGTAGTTGGTTCACATGCAACACAAGGAATTTATAAGCCAATGCAGAAAACAGGCAGTGTTTGTTTGCCACCTAAAATCTACAAAATCTCCAAGACACAACCTGAAACTTTTCAACCTCCTAGAAATAGTCAAAGTCTGGGGGTCACAAACGGTCCTGGTGCTAAACAAGTCTCAATTGATGTCGTATCAGCATTAAGTTCTCAACCTGTCAAAGGGCTTGTATCAATAGTCAATAGAGACCTGATAAAACCACAGAGACAACTTAGCTCTCCAAGTGTAGCAAATTCACAGGCAGCTCCTTCACAAACAAGTGGTGGTCCTATTGTAAGTAGTTCTCAGTCTGTTCCCAGGACGTCTCCTTCGAACTCCGGAAGGTTGAAGCTGAGTTTGAGAAAAAGATCTGAATCTCCAACACAGTCTCGCATAACCGTCAAACAGGAACCAACGGAGGGTGACACCAGCCATCAGCGCAGAGTCCGGAGGTTCAACAACCGTGAGTTTATTGATCAACTGATTAAACTTAATAGCACAGAAATGTATTGCCTAATATTGTATCTAAAACATTAACAAACTTTTAACTCTATGAAATACTCTGTCCTGAGTTTTGAAATTTTAACCTAGTTCCTTGGTACGCAGTAATAAAATTGTATCCTTTTCTTCCTTGAAAAGGGTACAGCAAAATGTCATATCTAGTGTGTCATAAATAGTAAGAAAAATTTTAATATTTATTTATGAATATTCGTATTTGATATAGGTCTCTCATGGAAATTAATGATTTTATATAATATTCTGAAATCCAAAATCATAGCTTTGACATAGTTTTTGATTACAGGAGATAAAAATGTCGTCTAACACTTACTAAGCCTTTGTAACATTGTTTGATGTGTTATATAATCAAGGCAATAGGGGTCCGTAGTTTATAGCACAGTGGTTTATCATTTCGTCATAAACATTGAAAAAGTATTAAGCTGGAACAAAGATAAAGATTTATAGAGAATATTGATTTATAATTTATTAAAGATAATCCTTACAAATTCTTTTGCATGGTTATAGTGTTAATTTTTTATATTTTCTTACAAGTAATTTTTACACTGCGTTAATGTAATATGTGTATCCTGTTGACAACAGCTCACAAGTGTGAAACACAGGCTGACATCAGTTTTATTATCATTTAATAAGAAGTGTTTCTTATGTTATTTCAGATGAAATTATAGATCTTTGTGACAGCAGCGACAATGAAAACTGAGGATCAAAACATAAAATTCTTCTGACAAATGATGATAGGAGGCTTAGTCCGGGAAGCTGAGAACAACTGAGTGTATTTCACGATGTTATGGATGCTTTTTAACTCACAGTAATTTACACCAGGCTTTCCCTTGGATCCTGTAGTGGATGTTTTACACCAGGCTCTCTCTTGGATCCTGTAGTGGATGTTTTACACCAGGCTTTCTCTGGGATCCTGTAGTGGATGTTTTACACCAGGCTCTCTCTGGGATCCTGTAGTGGATGTTTTACACCAGGCTCTCTCTGGGATCCTGTAATAGATGTTTTACACCAGGCTCTCTCTGGGATCCTGTAGCGGATGTTTTACACCAGGCTTTCTCTGGGATCCTGTAGTAGATGTTTTACACCAGGCTCTCTCTGGGATCCTGTAGTGGATGTTTTACAACAGGCTCTCTCTGGGATCCTGTAGATGTTTTAATCCATGACTTACTATAATGATACATATGTTAACTACATTATTTTGAAATACAAACATGACTTCCTTCAATGACTGAAACAGGAACACCTGTATAATGTGGTGTAGACTATCTAAAAGTGTTGGTGCTATATCACTCTGTACAATGATTTGTGTAGAATCTGTTATTGGCTGTTCGAAGAACGTTGAAAATTTTTATAAGCACGTTTGTTGAGATAGTTATGTAGGTGAATTTTGACAACTGTTTGATAATGGCTGGGGCATGATAAGATGTTCTTCCATAAGTAACATTAATTGTTTTTTTTTTTCATTTTTTTAAGGCAATACAGTCAATCTACACATGATTTGCATAAATCAGTGGTCACACCTTTAAAGATCATAACAGGAATACCTTAGCTTTAAATCAAGTCAAAACATGTTCTAACAATTTCAGTAAGTCATTGTTAAATTGAAGAAGGGCATTTTTACATGAATTTCTGCATTTAATTCGGTTTATAATTGTGTAAAAAGAAATCTACATAAATTTGTGCCACATCTGTATCTTTATCGAACAGATTGTTGCACGAATGTTAAATATAAGTGATGAAGGTTTGTCTTCAATACCTACAAATGATTAACATTGGAGCAAACTTCTAAAAAATGCCTGTGCCAGATCGTTTACATATATTGTAGACAATGTTAAATATGCTTTCAGTTACAGAAATAGATCATGCTTCTAGTCTTGGTATGTTCTCTCTTATCTAAGGATATTATGGCTACTCATTGACTATGGGTGTGTTGATTTCATGTTGTTTATCGTTTCTTTGAGAAATATTACATAAATTATGATCACTAGCTAAGAATTTAAGAAAGAAAGAAATTCAAACAAAGATATTATAGATAGAGCTGATAATCAGTTTTTGTTTTTATTGTTTTCTTTTAATCAAATGAATCATGATTTCATTTACCAATGTATGATTTTTAGATACAAAATTTAGAAGTACATTTTAAAAAGTATGCGATATACTTGTCATTACACTCCTCCTGTGACTTCAACAAGAAAATGCTGGGTGCTATATATACTTAGTTTCCTTTTTTGAAAGTTTACGTGTTCAGAATCATGTTATACAATTTCTCTTTATAACAATTTTTTATTTGGCATTATTATTATTGTAACAAACCGTTAAATGAATGTTTCTGAAAATTACGACAGTTTTTCATTGTTTTTTCCAATAAGGTTGAAAAGGACTCATGAAAATAAACTATAGGTTGAATACCGTTTTTTTATAAGGTGAAATGTAGATGTGTTCACATTTATTTGCTTCACATAAGTTTTCATTTTTTTATTCCTTCATTCTGCCATTATCATAATCATGTTTAGCTGAATATGTTGCTTCTTTTCCAGTGATGGTGGGGGTCATGATTTATAAATTCATATTCCGCGTCAGGAAGAGAACTGGACAAGATGTCCATAATCTTTTTGGTGCAATTACAGATCCCCTGGCCTGTGGTCCATATATAATTCACAGGTTTATGTGTGCTTCATGTTAATTCTTTTTTCTAGAGAGTATAATTATATGGTTTGTGTGATTTTTACATGTTTACATTCCTTGTAGATAGAAAGATATGTAACAAAGCCAATGTATTTCAGTGGAAAAATCAAGTCAGCAGGTTTTTAACTAATCATGACAGAAAGATGTTATGTTACAAAACCTATGTGTTCAAATTAAAAGATTTAATCAACCGGTTTTAGCTATTCATATTGAAGACAGAATGACTTTTATATAAATTTACTTTTAATCTTGTTGAATATTAATTGTTTTATGAGGTCAAAAGTTTGGAACCAACGCCAAGGTGCAATGAAGTTCAAGCTAAGGTCCCTAGCTGTGGGTGTGGATACCTCTAGGTGTGCAGGGCGGTTGTGAAGGTGACAAATAGAAGTAATGACATAGAGCCAGAACATACCTTGATAGTTTCTGTATCTAATCTAAATATGCACAAACTGCTGAAGTGTGTTGTGGTTGTATTTCATTACCTAATTGTTTTGTTGTACTAGTTATATTGTTTGTGTTGAAAGGCAATGTAATCAAAATCTTATGCAAATTTTAAAGAAGCAGGTTGCTTACAAATGTGCCAATATTTTATATTGATGATTCTAGTGCATTAAAATAAAAGTGTTTTGTTAATGGTGTCTTGTTCCATGAGTACATTTTTGAAGTAACAAACTAATTTGTAGTTCTGGGTTGATAAGTTTCAAATCTCAACTGGGAAAACTTCCCAACAGAAGGATTTGAATAGTCACAGTTCTTGTTGAAGTGTCAAGATGACCTAAAGCTCTCATCTTTCCTATGTCGAGCACTGTCTGCCTACAGACAGTGCACGACATAGGAAAGGTGATAGCTGTAGACAGTGTGTGACATAGGAAAGGTGATAGCTGTAGACAGTGTGTGACATTGGAAAGGTGATAGCTGTAGGCAGACAGTGTGCGACATAGGAAAGGTGATAGCTGTAGACAGGCAGTGTGCACATAGGAAAGGTGATAGCTGTAGACAGACAGTGTGCAACATAGGAAAGGTGAAAGCTGTAGACAGGCAGTGTGCACATAGGAAAGGTGATAGCTGTAGACAGACAGTGCGCACATAGGAAAGGTGATAGCTGTAGACAGACATTGCGTGACATAGGAAAGGTGATAGCTGTAGACAGTGTGTGACATAGGAAAGGTGATAGCTGTAGGCAGACAGTGTGCGACATAGGAAAGGTGATGGCTGTAGACAGACAGTACGCATAGGAAAGGTGATAGCTGTAGGCAGACATTGCGTGACATAGGAAAGGTGATAGCTGTAGACAGACAGTGCGCACATTGGAAAGGTGATGGCTGTAGGCAGACATTACGTGACATAGGAAAGGTGATAGCTGTAGGCAGACAGTGTGCGACATAGGAAAGGTGATGGCTGTAGACAGGCAGTGTGCACATAGGAAAGGTGATAGCTGTAGACAGACATTGCGTGACATAGGAAAGGTGATAGCTGTAGACAGACGGTGTGTGACATAGGAAAGGTGATAGCTGTAGACAGACAGTGTGCAACATAGGAAAGATGATAGCTGTAGACAGACAGTGTGCGACATATGAAAGGTGAAAGTATAGGCTTTCATGTTTACAAAATGTGACGTAACGAACCGACAATCGTCCGGGTAAGCTTAAGGACAGATGATCGATTCAGGCCCCTTCTGCCTCTCGTTTCTGGGATGTTAACTTTTGACGTATCATTAACCTGTGTGGATTATATATTCACCAGAACATCAGGTGTTACCCGCCTGGAACTCTTATTTGTTTCGTAGCCTAATTAAAATAATGACGTTTTAATCTTTAAAGGGAGAAGTTACATTTTAGTCAAATAGTCTAGATATTGTTATTGAAACAGATCTCGGCTGGTTACGTCCTGTCAATAAAAGAAAACGATATGTCGACATTCAGATCAACAGAGGGCACACCCCACACTGCCAATACTAGTACATTGTTCGGTAGTCGTTTTTTATAAATACTTACCAAGAATGAACAATTCACGGACAAGGGAGGCGATACAAGTCCGCGGCACTCGTAATATCAAAACTTATTAAATATGAAAATTATTCTCTATTTAATCATAATGTGTATAATTTAACAGACAATGTGTGATATGTTAAAACTTTACAAAGAACATACATATATGTTTTTGTGATATTGCAAACATCTGCTTGTAGCTGCTTTTAGATGAGAAACATTAAAAGTACATTTGTGAAAAAAAGACATCGGGGGATATCACTACTAGTAGACTACATTAATCGTGTCCGTTCCATATTACTAAATTTTTAATTTAATATTTTTAATTAATATTTTCCAAACTTCTAAATCGATGTCTGGTGAAACGGTTACTTTATTACATTGTTCCATAATTTCATTATTTCATGAGTGTTTCATCTCCCACACGTGTTGTAAATGAATATCATATGTTGTGCGCGTTTAAATTACAGCGTCAAATATTCGGGAACACCGGTGCCGTGTCATGCATCTCTGACGACACGGAAGTTTCTGCACGATGTTTAAATGACGTCATACAAGAGATGATTTTTACGACAAACTAATATTAATGTATTTTTTTATAATTTGATGAGTATCGTGTTCCTTATTATGTACTTTGTAAACATGCAGATTCATTGATAACAAGCAAATTCATGGAATTTATATCCCCCGCTTTCCAAACATATTGCAAGTAAATATTTTGGAGGTTAGGAGTAAACATGTCATAATGCTGTGTAGAATGATATAGTTTAATGATAAACTGATAATATTTGTGGGACTTCAAGTTACATCTAAATCAGATTATATTTAGGACAGTTAGAGCACAAAAACTGACCGACCAAAGAAATGAAAGGATACCTCATTAGTATGCATAATTATTAACAGATGACACTGATAGTCAAACTCAGTCTTAATGGCCCCAAGATGCATTTGCTGACCAAGTTTCACCTAAATTGAATGATATTTGAGGAAGTTATAACACGGAAACGAAAGTTTGACAGGCAGACGGATTGACGGACGGACGGACGCCACCCTGCACACATACCAAAGCCCTGTTCACGTCCACTACCAGTCACTTTCCATCTGACTGCTGGACGATCATGATCAAGACTCTTAGAGACAGCTGTGCCACGTACCTCATGGGTCTCTGGTAAGTCTTAGGAAATAATCAAATATTCCAAACCAATTTATATTGTCGCGACAGTTAAATGTATATCATGTGTTCCTACAACGAAAGTAAAAGTAAGTTCCTTAGTTTCGTATTTATTATGTTGTAGGTTTTCTTAATTATTGATTAAATGGAAGTACCAAACTTTTGAGTCGTCTCATCACTAAAGAGCTGAGGGGTTACAATTATAAGAAAACACACATTAAGGTCATATATTTATTTCATTCCGAAATCAAATTTACAGAAAAATGTTCACAGTGTAAGATTAATATTGATAAATAATGATACTAAAAAGTGAATAAATTAGATAACAAAATCAGGTAACAACATTGGGACTAAGCTACGAGGTCTTGTGTTGGGAGGGGAGAGGAATGCTAAATCGTGTGTCAGAAAAACGTACATATTAAACAAAACAGTATATATTATATACTTTGTACATTTCGGGAATTAAGATACAGCAAACAACAGGGGTTACAATACATCCGGGGAAGTAATGTAGACTGTACCGGGAGAAATCAATAAAATATCTGTTTGACCTGGATTCCATGATATGATGTGATAATTCGTGATACACCATGTGTTTTAGGACCAGTGTTACTTGAATAACACGATATCTCGAAGTATTTGCATAGTTGATGTTACCGCGTTTGATTTTGTGCTCAAATTTGCTTTAATTCAATTCAATCTTTCTTTCTTTTTTTTTTTGCTCACTTAATGAATCAAATAGTATCATCGATACAAATATATTCCAATATTAGTTCACATACAAAGAATGGATTTATTTTTAAGTCTTAAGAAGTCTGGACCGAAAATGTATGTCTCTAAATTTGATTAGTCAATAACTGCATAATAAATATGAATATTGATGTAGAATTATTATTTTAGAGACAAACTTTTTTAGTCTAACAGAATATATCGAGACTACAGTCCAATCAATATTGTAATGGAGTACGTCTTTCAGGAGTTTGATGTAGGTATACATCACTAGTATACAATGTCTGCACGAGATGCTTCTATACACGTTCTCTGTGCATTTTCCCTGTCTCGATGAAAACAACCTGGTTTCATGTATGTTAAACGTCTCTATTCTACAGTAAACTGTTAAACAGATTTATAAAAGTTGAGTTGCCATTTGTATATATTAAACAAGGATACAACAAAAACAAGAGGGGAGGTAGGGAACTATTGTAAGTTTTGGAATGGATGGGAAGGGAAGGGGACGGTGGGTGCAAAAAAAGTCTTCAAAATGACCAATATACATATATATACAAAAACACTGCCAGCTTGCTGAGCAAAATCACAGGATGACGTCACAGACTTATTGGTAGAGAAATCTCAAAATAAATAACACATGTGTCATTCGTAAGAATTGGTGAGCACGTCTTCATTCAATTTGGCTTATCACATTCCGACAGTCTATATCAAAACAAGTTCACGACATGATATCAAGCCGACGTAAAAATAAATGGGTATCAGCATTTTCAACATAGCCTGAATGTTTCTGTATTTCAAACAAAATGATATTGTACCCAAAATATAGCACATTTTAAAAGTTACATTAGTCACACAATTTAATCATACACGTCACTGCACCAAATTCGTTCGAATGTATATACAAAAGTTGATATCACACTATAAATCACTCTCACATGATATGGTTAATGGGTCAAGGTCAGAAATATGAACAATCTTGGCGACCGTTTATCTCACCGTGCTATTAACTACCGTGAACTAGGGCCACATCGGTCCCAGTGTCTGCAACACTTGGTGGCGATATGCAAGAGTCGGTCAATGCCATTTTAACGAACATGTTTACAAATCTTTATCTCATTATTGAAATTTTGTTTTGTGACCTTTAATATGATCACGAAAGTAGACTAAGGTCATATATCTGACCTTCAACACAGCAAACATATGGCCAAATGATATCACCAAAAAAAATCATATTTTCGTTGACGATGAACACAGCACCAAGGTATAATTTCACTTGCCATTCGGGCCGTTGAGATAAATGCCGATGATGTTGAAGAATCGTTGTCTCGTTTCACCCATGGACGCTTTTACATCTACACCGTTGCCTGTAGAGCATAGCTTAGCTTAGCTTGGCTGGGCACTACAGACATCTTGATAGACCAGACGCCTCACGAGATGTCCGAGTGCTTTTCTTGACATATCTCTTTGTGTCCATGATTCCACGCTTTTCGTTGACAGTCTACTGTGCAGTACCACGCCTTTCGACATTTGCCACACCCCCTAAATGGATCTTGGTTCATTGCTTTCTTGTGGCAGCTTGTACAGATATAGGGGTCGTCACCCTCGTGCACACAGCGTGGACAGTGACACCAAAAATTAAAGGATTTATAGAGCCACGCCCTCCTGAGCTTTCGGGGCATTGATGTGTCGATGTAAGTCGTGTATAGCTCCTCCCCTTTCGTGATGTCTCTTTTGGCGCGGACTATCACACCACCGCGATCATTTACGTAACCGTCACACACCTCGACGTTATTCATGCACGAATGATTCAGACATGCGTGGAGAGGGAAAATGCCACAAAAGTCCGCTGATGGGACCTTAACTTCGAGTGGTTTCAACAGAGCTATGGCTCTCATGTCCTGTGCGTCGATATTGGACAGACGGTTGATGAACTGATGGTGGGGAGTCACTGGGAAGGAGAAAGTTTGGAGATTACACGACGCCTGGAAATACCTGCCCGTAAATTCGGAGTCCGTAATCTCATACTTGATGCCGTCACCACAGTCGCTGAAGATGTCGCGATAAAGCTGTAAAACCGTCGCCATCTTGGCTGTAACGTCACCAGAGCCGAAAGCAATAAATCTGAAATAATGATAAACATGATTTTTATTTATTTATTTTCAAAGAACCTATTTCACGTAATTTTGACACCACTACAAGACACACAACCGCGAATATGTATGGAACGGAAACCTTCAAAAACGCTTTCACTTCTCTACTCTTAATTACGTCATACATTTCGATAGCGGCAAATTACCCTTCGCGGAACGGTAATCGTACCGAACAGGCAAAGAACAACGTTATTAATAATTTGCAATTGAGCCAATTTGAAAATGAATGTTATGCTGTATAATCGAATATGACGATTAATTTTATTTTAGTTATATTGTTTAATCATAAATCCTGATTATCGAAAACTTACTTCCTGAAAGGAGCCTTTGCTCTGGCCCAATGCTCTACTGTGGGTTCCGTACATTTGTCCTTCTTCATCAGGCGTTTGGCCTCGATGATTATCTGTGCCCACATCCGTGCAAGGATAACTGGGCTGAATGACGCCAGCCACAGGTTGACTTTCTCATCTTTCTCGTTGTATCCATAGCCATAGTTATCTGCCACTTCGTACAGGGTTTTCGCGGCGGCGCACCTGGCAGGACATATAAGCTGATGATATTCATCCCATGCACGCTCTTTACAAGTGTCAGTGCAAAATTTTACCACATTGCATTTTTCACACATGACGGGTTCAACGTCCGGCCACTGACTTTCTATCAGGTCCTGCACGCTGCTGTCGAATGTGTCAAGTTTGTCTCCGAAGTATCTGCGTGCTGTCAGAAGTGATGTGGAACAATAATCACAAGCCGGCACCACCTTGTCAACATCCTTCTCCATCACACGACCAAACACTGCGGGAGAATCCTCGAATATGATTTCGCCCTCGGGTATGTCACGCTTTGCGTAGATACCACGTCCGTACCCGGAGAAGTCCACGGTTACGGGATAATCTGTAGTCAGTGGACCGTAAATTCGACTGGTACGCACCTTCTGGAATATAATGGCAGCTTCTTGGTCTTTCTTGCCCGAAAGTGTGTATGCCTTCCTAAGCCAGAATTCCGCCGCTATCGGATAATTTATCTGGCCCAATACTTTACCTGAAGAAACAAAATGTTTTCATAGAATTTTCGTTAATTCGCTTTTGTGAACAAACATATGAGGAGCGCAATAACACTTGAATATTAGATTTCTGTATTGAAAAACGTACTCAAAATTTTCTTCGAACACTTCATATACATATATACCAAGCTCGCGTAAGCATCGAAGTCTTGATTTGCTTTGGTTTTGTGATACGGTCCTTACCTCCTAACTTCCATGAATCTGCTGTCCGTTCTCCCTTGGGGATCACCCACAAGTCTTGAATAGCACCTATAAGGTCTTCGTTCAAGAAACGCACCTCTGCCCTCAGTTTTCGAAGAATTTTGTTGGCTGGCTCTAGCTCCACTGCAAGTGTAAAGTATTGCAAGGCCTCAGGAAACCTTCCAGCCATCATTGCCTTGTGTGCCTCAACGGCTATCCTACCGGCCTTTTCCGACCTAATGAGATCAATAGGGGGAGCAGGTATGTCCTTCTCCATATCGTATTTCCTCTCTAGTGATGCATATTCCGTCCTTAGCAACACATCGTCCCCGGGATAGTAGTCTTGCCCACAGAAGTTCACTGCATCATATCCTTGTTCGTCTGTCTCGCCTCCGCTCTTTTCATAGTCCTCCAATATTACCTGTTGTAATTTTTTCAGATCTTCTGTGATTACCACGTGTTTTGAGTCCACGTCGAGCCCAGCCTTGTAAAAGTGATATGCATCTTCGTACTTGCCAAGTTTGGTGGACGCGCGACCCCCGGTGATGGCGCCCTCTATGTTTTTTGGGTCAAGGTCGAGCGCCTTCTTGATGTCATCTACGACATCACTGTACTTGGCCTGTTGTAGGTAGCACTTCGCTCGATTCACGAAATGGTAGGCGCACTTCGGTTCGTCTTCCAAGAGACTTGTGTAAAGCTGTATGGCACTGTCGTAATTCCCCATCTCATAGTCCTTAAGGGCCGCGGTATTCAAATCTAGTACCTTCATGTTGGACACGTCAGGTGGCCGCGGTTAGCAGAAGTGTATTTCACGTGCGTTTCTGAAAATAATACAAATGTCTATGAGTAAACTTTTACTCTTATCAAACATGCGGAAGATCCGCCATAAACTCAAAAGGTAAGTTTTGGTGTAGTCATTTCCTAATTGCTTTGTCATGGATATGCACGTGATGATGTTTATTTATAAAAGTTTACAGATACTTCATTTAAAATCAATACATTACCAATTGTTATAATATATATAATTCTCAACTTTCACGATGTGCGATTAATTTATCCTTGTATCCAAACTTTAGAGTTAAACTAATCGTTCCCAAGTGAAACGATGGGAAAATAAACTTGAGCTCGAGACCATATCAAAGAATCAACGTTGACATCACTAAATATCACAACAAGATGTTACTTAATTGCTAACAAGGTCAAATAACGGCCTTTTCGAGGTACACCTGTACGGATGATGACAAACCATAAACCTACATGTTACTAAAGAGGACGTTTTGATGTTGTATCCAGATCTATTGAAGCCACAGAAGTTTATGATGATGTTTTAGTATGCGGAACGCGGATTGAAACTGCTCCCCCTACAGATTTTCATTTCTTTAATGTGTTTTAAACCTGTTCCTTAGTCTAACAATTATTTATTGGTATGCTGCTAAGCAAGGACATGTTTCAAATACAATTAAACGTTCCTAAAACAAAAAATAACATTAAGATACTTTTTTTCATTTTTTTTTTCAGTTTTGTATTTTGTTATGTACGGGTATCTTGCTGTATCTGGAGGTTGAATGCGTACCAAAACATTTCAAATATCATCAACTTTAACTTTGATTTGAAAGTTTAAGTTTTTAAAAAAAAAATCAAGTATTCTTGAACCTGGTCATTCCTTCACGCTGCCAAACGTTCATTGTATATTTTTCAACATCTGCATTAAACTCAAAATAAAGTTATGTCATCAGTTTCAGTTCAGAAAAAGCAATCCAATAAAATTCTACATTTCGATCAATGCCTTTGAAACATGTTTTGACCCACCCTCGATACACCAGGGGTAACAATCACTTTCGCTCTCTACACCCTGGGACATGTGATGGATGATCCTGATCCGTCTCTAGAGGTGAGAAAATTACCTACAACCAATACTGAAACAAATCTAGAGGAGGTAGTTAAATATTTCGTAATCGGTTTGATAATGGTTAGGTCACTTGCACCTAATATTCGTGTTATCAGGGGAGTTAACTCGCTCTGACATGCGGTAAAATACTAACTTATTGTCACTTCCCTGTGTCTGTACAAAAAGTTACCTTCCTTTCACCACAACTGAAAATAAGCTCACCAATACACATTCACTGTTTTCAAAATATATTTTAAACTATTTAATGGGTATATAGTTTTTGTTTGTGTCAAAGTTTGAATATTATGAGTTGAAAATAGGAAAGGAGTCAATTTCGATATACGTTGAATAATGAACGCGAACACGTATACACGTGTGTGGGTCGGCTGTGATTATTAGGTAACACTTTTTGTATCCATATTCTACAGTTTATATTAATACTATTATTTACTTATTTATCAATTTATCTATCTATTTATACTCTTGTTTGTTTTATCGCGATTGTACTAATATAGCACAACTGAAAGGCAGTAACAATTAATTAAGTATTGGTCATGTTTCTAGTGTTATGTTGATGGTCTCTGGCATCAGAAGGACCCGACCACTGGACCACATGTCACGTGGAGCTTAATGAGCTAGTGTAAAACGGGGGGAGACGGGGTTCCCTACCATGTCAACATATTGGGTTACTTAATTACCATAATACGGAGTTAGATATCCCCTTCCCTGACATGTATCAGGGACTATCATCAAAACCGAACAGTTTTGAATATTAGAGCATTGTTATCTTTCTATTGCACGTAAAGGCCCTTTAGACTTAACAGTGTGGAATATCACATGAAATAACTACAATACAGAAATAAAGTTATCAATTTGTTAAATATCGCATATGGAACCAAATCACTTCTTTTCTGAATTTTTACATTCCCTTCAACAGATTCGGCGTTTTACATGTTTACGGAATAACCTGTATTAGTTTCATTAATAGTACGAACTATAGGAATAACGATATTGATTATGTAGCCAGGAGATAAAGAAACTGGTACAAGGCGAGTTTAATTTAAATTAATTAAACACAGACCTAAATAATCCGGTTCGCTGGACTAAATGATACAATGTTTTTTGGTCAATTTTCTCTGATTTTTGAACGACTTTCAAATTTGTTAATTTCCTATCATTTATATCTATAAAGTCCTTTTTATCGGGAAATTAAGAATGTGATAGGTTACAAGGTAAATATCGAAACACATCTTCGTATACCTAAACGTAACATTTACACGTGAAGTGTCAGATCTGCTGCTGCGTTTTGGTAGAACGCCAGAGCCGTAATGTACATTTCTGAAAATTCTTTTGATTACGAATTTAAAAGCCCCGGAATAGAAAACGATGTCTGTATATATGACTGTTACATCATGTTGTGTTAAAGCAGAAATACATAAAACACGGTACTTGTCTACGATAAACGCCTGCACGTGAGGAGCACACCGTTTCGCCATCTTTACACAATATATAAACATTGCTCGACATTCCAGCTCGTGTGTAGTAGTAGTAGTACATTACGTACTCTACAAGATTAATATCTCACTAATTCAAATTTCAATATTATGTTATTGTATTGATAAACAAAACACTTACCTCTTATAAAAGTCCTTTAAGGTAGACACTCTCCTATGACAACTGCAACCGGTTTCGGAAGCCCCAGTACAAATGTGACGTCGAACTGCTAAGTATGGAAAGAAATCCGATATCAAACACATCTGATCCTGGGCAGGAGAAAGTTGTAGGGACTCCTCTTCTGTTGCTGCTGCTGAGAGCGGGGCCCTGACGGGGGTGGCGCGTGGCGTGGGCGGGGCTCACAACAGGGTGTAAATGATACTGTAAGCGTGTATATATACCCCGCCTCGTGTCTGATCAAAGTGAGACCATGTGTTCTCACTCCATCACAGAGAAGATGTCTGTTTATGCATGTTAAAATCTAGCCATCTTTGCTATCTTTAAGAGAGTAAACATGTTTTGAAGTTGTAGAGTTTAATCTTAAATTTCCAGGCGCCTTCGAAAAAGCTTAAAGTAAGAAAATATTCATTTTCCTATCTAATTAAAATCACTTGCCTCTTTTACTTTACTTTCTGTAACCTAGTACACTTAACCAAAAATACAGATATCCGATGTTGTAAGACAGGATTTAAAAAAAAAAAAGATTTAAGTCTTTTGTGCATATGAAACACTAACTTCACAATATCATCAGATGGGGGATATTGTCAAAGTCATCTTTCGTTCGCATGGCCTGTCCTGAAAATATCCCTCAGTAAGCACTGAACAGACCTTTCTCAGCTTTTACGACAATCGTTTGTTACCTGTTCTACTTTGGAACCTCATGAAAGGTGTATATAACTGCCAGATGCCCAGCTACAAGTTTCAGGTTTCATTCAGGCGAATTACTTGCAAATCGCTAGCAATTATTATAACGAATAACAATGAAAATTATCATGCAAGAGATTATTTGACAAAACAGTGTTTATCTATATACAATGTAAGAGCTGGATATGCAACGAGTAAAACATTATGGAGACCTAAAGAATTATCCTAAATGAGGTTCCCTGGTAGGAAACGAATTAGAATATCAATTTAATCTCTGAGTGAATCACGATATAGGTATACATAAAACAGGTAATTTTCACGGGTTTAAATTTTCGCGATTTTCTTTCAAAATGACCTAATAGTATATTGACAATTTAAATTTCGCGATCTGGAGGTAGACGACATCTAATAAACTAATGTCTCGCTACTTCAACGATTAAATTTTCGCGATCAAGTTAATGAACAGCGTAATAGTGAAAATATCATACACGCGAAAATGCCTCGACCATACAGTATCTAATGTTAAATTAAGTCACTTATTTAAGTCTATTATGTAAAAATTGTCCATAATCATTTTGACTGCCATTGCTCTGAGGAGAAGTCGAGAGGAATTGGACAATATATACCGGTGTACAGGCGAACAAACAGACATCTTTGAATGTCTTCATCCAAAAATACACGACACGGGAACACTTAAACATTCTTTGATGAATTGGTCAAAACATTGGTTAAAAACTAGTTAAAAGCCAAACCAGGTAAAATAATCATATCCGGTTTCAAACTACCTAAAGATCAAATCGTTCTCGGCTTACGTTTGGTTAACTTTTGCCAGCTGGGACTAGAGAAGTAGTCAAATGTGTTTATCTCTACATTACTATCCCAAGAATACATGTAATATTGGCTGTGTTCATTAGTACTGTATACCACCTACAGGTCAAGTGAAATTATAGGAAAATTGTAGAAAACATATAGAGAGGATGTTTTCAGTTAAGATCATTTGTGAACCATGCCCAACTCATAATTGGAAGCCCAATTTTTATGTTTCAGGTAGTTCAGGTAGTGATAGTAAGGTATTTAAAGATAGCAGCCTCTTGAATGTAGCACAGATATCAAGTTAAGTAAGGACCATTTATGGGCCATTGGCAATTCATTGGTGGAGGTCTCGTTTCAAAACGACATTTTTTGTCCAAAAAGTAGCAATAAGATTTTCAAAATCACAGCCATCTTGAATGTCGTACTGGTCCGAATTTCAGTTTTGATTACCTTCAGACCATGCAGAAATTAAAAGTGGAAACTGTAGCATCTATCGTGCTTTACATGTGTGGATGACTGGCTCATCCCCGGATTGAACCTGATTTTGTCTTGTTGTAAAATCAGCAGTTAACACGTGTTAATTTACTCTCAACAACTTTTTTGACTTTCAAAAACTGAAGAGTTCAACAATTCATATAGAGTTATGTCCCTTTACCTAACTGGTATTCTCATTGACAGATACCACAGAAACCTGGTATCAGTATGAAATTTTTGTCTAGGTCTATTGAACTATGTCCTACTCGCTAGTGGATGACCTGGTTCTGTATGAATTGTTTGTCCAGGTCTATTGAACTATGTCCCACTCGCTAGTGGATGACCTGGTTCTGTATCATCATTTAATCGCCAGTAATGATAAAAGTATTTTGTTTAGAAATGGACATTGCCGCTGGACCACATGCCATGATAAATGATCTTTCACTTTTCAATCAGTCAAACCAAAAATTTGACAGCAAGCATCAATAACTAAAACCCAAATTTAGCAAATTTTTTTGCTCAAAACATTCAAAATCGGTATTTGTATAATGTCAAGTAGGCTTACTAAATCTCTCAGTTTTGTATGTATATACACACTGTATAGGGAGCTACCAAGAGATGAGCTTTACTTTGTGCATGTATCTCACTGATGAACTGCCCCATTGAATGCATAATGATAATACACAGTGACTGAAATCATAACATCAAGCATCTGTTTACATTTTAATGTTTAAATTCTCATCTATTTCTCTATAAATGTGACAAGAAAGGAGTGGTGTGTCAGGTTTTAAGTGTACATAGGCACATAGTCGCCTTCTATCTTAAGTGTACATAGGCACACAGTCGCCTTCTACCTTAAGTGTACATAGGCACACAGTCGCCTTCTACCTTAAGTTTACATAGGCACACAGTCGCCTTCTACCTTAAGTGTACATAGGCACACAGTCGCCTTCTACCCTAAGTGTACATAGGCACACAGTCGCCTTCTACCTTAAGTGTACATAGGCACACAGTCGCCTTCTACCTTCAAGTTAGAGAGAATTTAGACTCACCAGTAAAGTGACTCCCTCGAAAGCCAGGAGTCACCAGTTTGATCCCTGGTGGAGGCACATTACTCCATTCTTGTCACATGTGTAAGCAAACAACAACAGAATATTGAAATTATACACCTCCTGCTAACATTTACTATAGATAAAACCAACGAGATGAAAATGATAAAAATGTTTAGAAACACCGGGTATCACAAAGTAATATCACACAAGAGGTAGATACACAGCTCAAGGCATTATACTCTACATTATGGCGTGTCTTTGCTAGCTAGATTTATTGCCCTTTGAACAGCCATGATCGTTTTGAGTTAGGATCTCCTTGAAGTAACCAGTGGCTACTTCACTGAACAACATACAGGAGGCCCATCACATGCTCTCCAGTACAATTAAGGTAAGTGTCTTTCCCAAAGAAACAACCATGTCAGCACCACCTTGTCCATGTCTAAGCTCTGCAAGAAACACAACCTGCCACAGGTCTCACTGCTTATTATACATACCAACAACTACAACCTAAATATACATTACCTTATATAGATAGCTCTTAGTCTCCAATATATATACTGTATATATACAGTCGAATCTGTTATCTCAAACTTGTCGAAACTGCAGTAAAACCTTGATTTATCCGAGTATTTGATATAAATGAGATTGAATGTTAAGAGTGAAGTTTGGCTGTGACCAATGAAATACTTTGAATTAAAGGGGTCTTTGAGTTATATGAGTTTGAAATAACAAAGTTTGACTGCATCCTCAAATTAAACAGGATATTCCTTATTCAGTTACTGTTTATAGTTTGATACAAGAGAAAACATACAGGGTTATATATATATATATATGAAGTACATTTTGCCTATAGATCAGCAGTACGGTGTGTTACGACACTCATGAGCAGGTGTCTGTTTTTCTTTTTATTGACAATCATTGGATCGCGATAAAAATAGCCTGACTGACATAGGAAGCCTATACTTATAAGTATTACTGAACACATTTTAAAGTTTCATATAGATTATTGTTCCTCTGATATTAAGAGTTAGGAGAAATTATATTTCAGGGTGTTTTTACGACTAGCATGTGATCAAGGGCTTAAAAATGAACAAAAGTAATTGGGTTTGGGTTCGACATGCTGCCAGATTTGAGCAACAGAGACAAGGTTGAACTTTGAGGGTTTCACTATAAATTTGCAAAAATATATTTCATTTGATCATACCAGGCCCTCTAGTTTCAGGGTCATCATTATGACCAAACCTTTATAAAACATACATTTTATTATGCATTTAAAAAAAATCTGCGAAATTTTCTTATTTCAACTTTGTCCTTCATGCCTTTCAGTTAATCTATCAAAAATAATTTAAGATCTTTAATACATTGGACCATATAGAATTAACACTTGACAAACAAAGTGTCCAGATGTGGCCAGTTTGATGAAACATGATAATTACTACTATCAATGAACAACAGATAGATATTTCCTACTGATTTTAACAAATGCTGCGATTTTTGGGACTCAGAGATTTGAGTCCTGGAGTCAGAATTTTCCTGTGGGACTCCATTAGATTTTGGGGATCCAATAATATCTCTTTGTAAAAATTTAAGAAATGATGTTTCAGATTGGCATGAAAAAAGTCCTACAAAAGTTCCATAAGTGGCTTTGACATTTAAACATATATTTCTTACCATCACAAAGGACATAATAATTTTCTTTCTCTCTACATAAATAGCATTGTTCTGTCTTTTTCAGTGTGGAAAACACATAAAAAAGTTGGTGTCCATTTGTCGATCACTCCTTTCACATACAGCAATCACAGTAAATTTATTAATCACTCATTTATCACAGCAAAACATTTAAACACCTATATTAAATTCTCCATAGATACATATTCAGTCAACCTTAATAATTCCAACATACTCACACTCACAGTTACAGTTATACAACAAAAAACTATTCTTCTTCGTTACTCCCTCATACCCATAGTTTCAGTGATCTTAAAAGTAATGTGGCTGTTCCTATTAACTCCCTCCAATAATATGGCTGTTCTTGTTAACACCCTAAATATATGGCAGTTCCTGTTAACTCCCTCATATAATGTGGCTGTTCCTATTAACTCCCGCCAATAATATGGCTGTCCTAAATATGTGGCAGTTCCTTTTAACTCTCTCAAATAATGTGGCTGTTCTTGTTACCTCCCTCACATCCCTTATCACAATATTGTGACTATTCTTGTGAACTTCAACTTCCAGTTAATATAGCTCAATAATTTAATTCTCTCACATCTGTTGTCATGGTGACCATACAAACTGGTTGAGTTGCTGTAAAAGTCAACTCACTCTTACATCCACAGTCCCTGGGTATGGTTGTTCCATTTAAATATCCAATATCTAAAGACCCATTAACTCCACAATCAGCTCGACTGTTCTAATAAAGTCCTGTACATCAGACGTCCACATTAGTCTATAATTAGAATTACTGTTCAATTAAATCCTTCAGATCAAGAATACAATGGATTTCCTGATGTATGTAGACATTCCATCTAACTCCCTCACATCTACGGTACTATTCCTCATCACACCAAGGTCTGGATTGTCATCCTATCATTTCCTTACATCACCAATCGTAAAAAGCCCAGACATAGAGTGGCTGTTCCAGCTACAGCACCTGTCAACAAAATTAAGTCCACAAATCATGTAATTTTAAAGCTTACTAAGTTTCAAAAGGAATTGGCTAAAAACTGAGGAATGATAAATCTGTACAAGATAAAATACAAATACAGTTGAACCACACTGTCATTCAGGAAAACAAAACTTCATGTCATGTTATTAAGCCTACCAAGTTTGAAAGAAATCCATTGAAATCTGTGAGAGAGAATATCCAGACAAGACAAATATGAAAACAGCATGGGAAGTAACTCTTCCAGATACAGTGGAATAAAACTGTAGTTAAGGAAAACATAACTTAAAAGTCCTGGAGATTATGCCTACAAATTCTAAAATAAATCAATTGAACACCGAGAAAGATCTTGAATAAACTGCAACAAAAGTTGAATCTCTTTGCTTCTTGAATCATCTTATCAAACTTGAAAAGAATTGAATGGAGGATTTAAAAGTTATTGCCTTTTCTACCCAATGCTCATATTTGGTGTGTAGAGAAAGTTGAGACCAACTTTCTGCACATTTCAAGTCTTTGTATGTAGAGAGATTAACACCTACCTGCTGCGTATTTGAAGACGTCATTACGACATGTTTCTATCTATGTATGTAGAGAGATTAACACCTACCTGCTGCGTATTTAAAAACGTCGTTACGATATGTTTCTATCTTTGTATGTAGAGAGAGTAAAACCTACCTGCTGCATATTTGAAGACGTCATTACGATATGTTTCTATCTTTGTGTGTAGAGCAGCAGTGTCGGTCACTATTTTGTTGTTTAGGACTTGTAGCTCCTTCCTGTTTTCTGCATGCTGAGGTAGACCACATACATATTTAATAAGAATGAAGATGTATCAAAGGGGTATGAATATATTTTGGCAGAGTATATATCAGAATTCAGATCATACCTCTCACATGATGATATTTTATATAAGTTGGATTTGTTAAGGTCACATTACCGAAACATTATGGATAAAGAAATTACTGGAATACCAGGACATTCTGTATAATTAGTTTCATTTTGGCTTAAAGAAAGAGATTTAACTAATATTTAGATCAAGGTTGACATAAAATACATGTTATTATTGTGTCTTCTGTATCTGTCTTCATACAAGATACCAAAAGTACCATTTCAGGATGCAAACAGAAATTAAATCAAACCATGGATTTGTCATTTTAAGAACTTACTCAATATCAAAAACAATTTTGATAATAGAGAATCATTGATTTGTAAAACCCCAGGGCCTCTAAATCAAGATTTATGAAAGAGGCTGGAGTCAATCTACCAGACAAAACCCCAGAGCCTCTAAATCAAGATTTATGAAAGAGGCTGGAGTCAATCTACAAGACAGTCTGGTATCTTGATTAGGTCCATAGTTCATTTAACCGGGCCATGGTGAACAAGAGGAATATTTTGGAAAAACATACCTTCAGTCACAAAAATATTCCAATGTTTCACTAGTCACATTGAATAAATGTATTTACATGGTATTATCACAAGGTATTTTATAGAAAGAAATTTGGAAAAAATGTCTACATCACATGGATTTCATTCCTTATACATGGTTTAATAAGAAAAAACTTTGTAAGTGCAGATCCGTATGAAATCTGTTATGGATCATAAAAATTTGTACCAAACTATAATATATATAGGGCTCTACATGATACTGATTCTGTTCTGTGTAATTAGAAAACCAGTACAGGTTTCTGAGATTTAGTCTGTGTAAAATGTAACACATTTTGATGCTAACAAAACTCAGCTATTACAAAGTTATGACTCACAGCTTCAGTACTTCGACTCTTCTCCAGATTAATGTCCAGGACAACATTATTTTTAAGTTTCCCCATCTCGTCTTGTAAGGTCTGCTGGAACTGTTTTATCTGCATGGTTTGTTTCTGTTGATAGATCATACCAAGCCATTATTTTACATTTCATGTATACCTACAGTATTAAAGTAATGTTTAGGTTGAGATGTTTAAAGGTTTTTGTAATACTTGAGAGACAGATAACTGTTTTTCTTTAAAGAAATCTGACATTCACTTCATAACAACGTACCTCTGCTTCACTCCAATGCATGGAGGAATCACTTATCAACAACCTACCTCTGCTTCACTCCAATGCATGGAGGAATCACTTATCAACAACCTACCTCTGCTTCACTTCGAAGCATTGAGAATTCACTTATTAACAACCTACCTCTGCTTCACTTCAAAGCATTGAGAATTCACTCACTTCAAAGCGTTGAGAATTCACTCACTTCGAAGCGTTGAGAATTCACTTATCAACAGCGTACCTCTGTTTCACTTCGAAGCATTGAGAACTCACTTATGAACAACCTACCTCTGCTTCACTTCGAAGCATCACCATATCCTTCACCATATCCTTCTTCACTGAGGCAATATGTGACATTAACTGCTGGACAGTGATCTCCTGTCAACATAATACAAGTTCAGTTGTACTTTCTGTAGGAGAGTGAATTCAAGTCAGACCTGAAGAACAACGTCATACAAACAGCAGAAAAGATAAATTGACTGCAATATTTTATGTAAATTTGGCTCCGTCTAAAGGAAATTTTCCACGTAAGGTTCAATTACACTGTAAAACTGTAATAGGAAGGAGTAATGAAAAACACCCTGCCATCGCTGGGGTTCAAACTAGCGACCCTCCCTCTCTAACCAGATACTCTATCCTCTCCACTAAAGGGAAATTCCCACTAACTGAGTCTAGTAAGGCAACCTGTACCCTCAACTTCTACACTACTCCCTCCTTTACAAAGTCTTTGACCCAAAAGACAACAACAACCCAGGTTCAACATCTCCAAGTAAGCATCTCAATCTCATATAGCTTCTACCCTTTGCGTGATTAATGGCACCAAATCTGTTATAGGAAGGAGTAATGAAAAATATCCTTCCACCGCTGGGGTTCAAACTAGCAACCCTTCAGTCTCTAACTGGACAATCTACTGCTCGACTAAAGGGAAATTCACACTAACTGAGGTTAGTAAGACAACCTGTACTCACAACTTCAACATAACTACCAATTTTCACAACCTTAAATGACATCCAAATGTTGAAATATTTTTCTAATGTTTAATTTGAATGTTAAAAAATCAACATTATTTGAATCTAACAATTCAACATTGATTGATGTTGAAATGATGTTAAGAAATATTCACATTATTTCAGGGTTTAAATTGACATTTGTAACCTAACGCCTGACACATATAGGGACCTTGCAACTATTCCATGATCTACAAAAAACAATTTGGGTTGTACAACATCAAGATTTTACAAAATTTTGCCATCAATATTTCCAATAAATAATGATGAAAACCAGAGTTATTAGCAATACAAAATCATCACCTGTCCGTAGAGTGTTACCTGCTGAGACTTAGTGACCATGTTCTTTGTTTGGTGTTCAATACTTGTGTTAAGGACCTCTATGAATGCTTCAGTTACAGCTGTAGCCTGCTCCTGTGTGAAGCCTGTCATTGAAATCGTAATAACAGGTAATGATTCATACACAGAAAATAATTGTAGGCTTTTCAACATGAAATTCAACTTTACAATATGCTTTTGTGTTTTTTGATGAAAATCAATAGAAGTAGAAACCATAGGCCTATATGTGATATGTATGAAAAAGCTTGATTTGCTTACCTTGTGACATGAGTTTGTTAACCAAAGCCTGGGTATCAAAGTAAAAGATTCTGGATTGGGCTTCTAATGTTGGGTTGATGGATCTCGCTTCTGGGTTGGTACAATATCCTCTCTTAGTTACCCACACTGTAAAATGTAAATTAGCACGTTCATTGCATTGGTATCCTTTTCTTTATCGTAAATAATAATTCACAAATCTTGTGTATTGACAGATGAATCTAATATTTGTTACAGCACATATGTGTAGGTCTTTATTCTTTTAACCCATGCAACAGTTTTGGTGTACTCCAGCACATGCAAAACACAGGAACTTGGTTTCAGGATTTTGGGAAATGTACATGACATTGGTAAATATCCTGAACACATGAAAAATCCAGTAATTATACAGGTATCTCGATGTTTTGCACTAAACCAAGTTCACACCATGTCCTTCAACACAAGCACCATTCGCAACCAGTGCCAAGACTGTTCACACCCTTGGTTTTACTCTCTTTCTTTCCTGGTACTATATTTGTAAATAAATATTTGTTTGTGATTTAAGACATTAATACATTTATAGGCTTTGAATATAATTGTTGAATGTTTCATCATTATGATCTGTATATTTCAGTAATTTGGACCCATTATACCCAGGGTTACTGTAACCTTACAAAGTAAGTACTTCTTGAGAAAAAGCGATAACAAAAATTGTTCACTGACGGACGGACAGACAACAGACCAAGAATTGAGTGATCTGAATTGCTTACCATCTGATAATGGTGGGCTACAATTCAAAATATATTATCAAACACATATCTAATATGTATCAAAACTTAATATAATTTTGATTTATTTTTTTATCTCCTTGGAAAATTTGATAATGTATCATAATGTATGTAAAAGTGTATAGGCTTGTTGATACAGTCTTGTCGCAAGTTTGGTGGTCATCCTTGACATGTGTCACTGGCAACAGCATGCTGTTGCATGTATAGCCATCACTTATATCACCATTTACTTATTTTACTTCAAACATCAAAACATTATATATGAGTACTGCTATTTCTCCGCGTTTCATCTTTCCTTGTTGGGTTAGTGCTCATGCCGCAAAGAGCAGGCACATGTGTGTGTCCACATTATTAACGGTTATGATTATGTACTTCATCACAACACAAATGAATGAAAAAAAAAAGAAGTGCTTGTATACTTTTAAAAAAAGTAGTGAAAATATGCAGGAATCTCTTGGTAAGAGGCTTCCCTTTAGCCTGTACAAACACAATTGGGGCCTTCAAAGACACCACTGCCCTGTACATTTTAAAAATTCTAAAGTATGTCAGTCTCAAATATATTTCATTTCTGAATTTTCATTTTGGGACGAACCGTCTGATGTGGGTGCAAAACAACTTGTGGGAGAAACGTCTGACATTTTTTAAAAGTGCTCTGAAACCCTAAAAATGGTATCAGTGTATGGCAAAACGTCTATTTTAATGATGTTTAAGTGTGTGTATAAAAACTGGATTTAATGTGTCTTGTGGATATTAAGTGATGTCATTACTCACAATCCTAATATCGACTAATCGAGCAACTGTGACTTTGCACTGATGAAAATGTAGGTCAGTTGCATGTTTCGCCACATAGTCCGAACGGTTCTGACTATTTATCCGCAATTCGATTTTGGTTTTGGTTGGGAGGCTCTCCTGACCTAACATATATAATTGGTAAGATCACGAATTTATTATATATTGAAGTCCGTGGTCAGATATTTAACCATTCAGCTTAACATGATCTAGACCGAAAACTTATGTATTTAAAATGATTATATATAACTTAATGTCAATATTCATTTTATAATGCTGTTATTGATGTTTACACTTTTACTAATAATGTTCACATGTGACCACTATCTGACGCAATCTGACAATACTGAGATTTTACCTGAGCTTCCAGCCAACTCTTTCGATTGCGGCGATAAAATCGTTCGATGTGGTACCAACATCTGTCTTTGAATACACCTGCTACATCGTAATGTTCGAGACAGCTGGTCTTCCGTTAGTGTGGCATACAACCTCAGCATAGGCCGAGAGAAAAACAGACGTCGTGATTGCAACATCTTTCTTCTTGAAACTCTTTTGTGTTGAAAGTTACGAAAAGCATCTGAAGGGAGATACCATTATTTATAAAATTTGAATAAGTATTTAAATTAGCAGTATATTGACCATATGCTCCTTTTCTCATGTTATATACAAATTACAGAATTTTCTTTATAATTAACCTTATAGGATTTTGACCATACCTTATACCATGTCTATTTACAATTATGGCATGGGGAGAAATCATTATTTGTGATATTTCAATGGAATGGAACGATGCTCATAAAGGGACAATTTTTTTTTCATTTATTTTTTTCGTACAAAATACGTTTAAATACTAATATTTTGTCTAGCTAACAGTGTATATTAGATTTTGATATGTGAAAAGTTTGATTTGAAAAACATTTATTCTGTTTATCTTCAGTTATATTACTTGTGGATGAGTGGAGATGTCTGTATGTAATACAAGATGATGACTGGAGATTCGAGTAAAATACAATGCTGAATGGAGATTCAGAATGTAATAAACAATGCTTGGAAACATTGGTTCAATAATTGGTGACAGGTTGAGATCCAATTTAATACCAACTTGTATATATGGCGTTACATGATACTCACAAAACATCAGTCTGTTGGTAACACATGGCGACAGTTTGAGATTACATTATCCTCAATGATATATAATTGAATAACCATTCATGCGATTTAAAGGATCTGGAACTTGCTTAAATTTCATATATAATTTATGAAACTTGTCACAATTTTCAGGCGAAAGCATACACTAAAATGACCAGGGGGTCAAATTCATCATTTGAACAAACTTTGTAGTCATTCATTTCAGCATGCTACTGACTAAATATTATGAACCAGGGGCTATTAAGCTATATAAAGATTATTAGCATGTTTGTCCTCTCCGATATAGAAAGTATGTCAAGGTAATTCGTTTGGACATACTACTGGCCTTTTGTTTATTGAGAAGTTGTTTGTAAAAGTAAAAGCAGTGCCTATGATATCCTTGCAATGGATGCTCTGCCAAAGCAAAATAGGCAGATGTGCTTATAAACTAAATATGCATTTGTAGAACCAATATACTCCCAGATAAAGTGCCGAGATCCCAAGGTATGCCTGCATAATCTGTCCATGATAACATAGTTTTCGTTACAGGAAGTACATTTGTCATGAAAGTGTTAAAATGAATGTACATTGTAGATATTATATAAATGCATAAAAAAGCACACATATATATATATTATGGTAATTCATTTACTCATTCACCATTTGTCTAGAAGAATTTGTGCCAACAAGATTAACCACCCCTCAAACTTGTTTGTTGCGGTAATAATGACATGGAAAATATGCTGTGTTAAGTGGGTCACAGTTTTCTTACAGACAGCAGTCCAGATAATTCTGACATTCTATTGACTTCAACCGATATGTAAAAATTTAAAAGTAGGTCAGAATAATTTAGACTGTTAAGAAAGCACACAAAGACAAATTTTAGAAATGAGAATCAAATTTTATTTGGAAAGCCAAAGAATATGTAGGTGTAAGATGAAACAAAGATATATATAAATAGACACAATACAAAATATACAAAATGAAAAGAGAAAGTTTAGAAGGTAAAACAGAACACTGATGTAAAAAGGTCTAGATACCCCGGTCACTTATACACTGCAATATCACGTGGTAGATGGTGACATACAGGATGATGAAAACTCAGATATCAAGTTCATCTCAACATTCCGTACATATTGTAGAACTTATATACAGTATCAAAAGGTAAAAACTTTCAAAGTAACTGATTTTTCATCAGATGACCTTTCTGTTGATATAGGATAGGAAAAACAAACATATGTTCTTTTCTGCATTGAATTCAAATCTTTCTGACATATAATATTAATCTTCTGAAAGACAAAAATGATTCCTGTACAAGCAGCATTAACTATGAATTCAATATCGGATGAAGACAAACGTGATGGTTCTTAGATTTTAAAGGTATACTAGCATTTCTAAATCCTAAATGTGCAAGATGAGGATATTTGAGTTAAGAAAGAAGTCACAGAGTGGTAAAATCAACTCTACATTTGCTTATTTATACTAGTACAAACACATCGAGTGAAATGTGGAAACGTAGAAAATATTGTCTTTTTTTAAACATTGTACTCTTCAAATCACAGCCGTGGTAAAATATCTTAAGCACATGTTTAGTATCTATATACAAAGAACAGTTAAGACGATGTGTTTGAAATGAAAAGATGGACATAATTAGTTTCAGTAGGGGAGGACAGATAATTAAGTAACAGGGGTACATTTATTGCGTTTTTTTTGTCTATCTGCCGTCAAAAAATTACTATACATAATAGGACATTGAACTTATTGTTCTCTGCCTTACTAAGACAGCAAAGACATGACACAGTGACGTGTCTGGAAAATGGAGTGATTCATGATCATTCAATCAGATAAAGCAAGTTGTCAATGCAATAAAAGAGGCAGCCACCATACAAATCATTTTTGGAGTGCATATAAAATTGACTCAAGTTTTCTTTCTTTCTAAATGACAAAACAAACCTTTCCTAGTACAAACATTTCTAGGGTTTGACAAAGTTTCACAGTTTAAGCTCACTGATCTGAACTAGATACAGAGCTTAGTGGTTAGTACACACCTTCCAAGTTAAACTGGTAAGATGCTAAAATGATTTTACCCAGTTAATGTTTTCTGATATTTTACATTACTTTTATTTATCCAACATTTATTATCAGTTTTCATCTTTATCTGATATTCAAATATAACTTGACTCTGAATCTGGCATTACATCATAAACATACAGCTTCATAATTCTAGCATTGTTGGCGATTTTCAAAGTACAAAAGTTTTTTCCTAGTAAAAATATGAGTGTCTATGAACAGTCAGTTCAATATCTACACCATCAAATAACTCAATAAATTATTGCACAATTACCATAGACCGGTGTAGAATTTTTATCTTAGGCAGCTTAAGTCAGCTACGATGATTTGCTGCGGACGTCTTTCTCATACTTTTCATGGAGGTATTTTTTGTAGGCTGTCTGATTTTTCCACAAGTCTGCTGCATGTATGTTGAGGGGGCTGTCAATATTTGGCTCTGGAATTTGAAGGCAATTTTCATGAGCTAATGAAAAATTGATAACATGACGTTTTGTTAAATATGTGTCACTTTTTACATTTTCCGATACTACACATTAGTCATACTTTTCCTGTAATTTCTAAACTGATGAAGTTACAAATCACTGTGATTTCAATGTTGCCACCACAAATACACTGTTCATAACATAAGATTTGAAGGCATTTTCTCAAATATCCTTTCCATCTAATGAATTCATTGATACAATAAATGACTTAAGACCAGTAAAAAGTGTGTAAAGTTGATTGCTTTCCTTATCTATCTTTTACCATGAAAGAAAATAGTACCCTCCAGCTTCACTTTATCATTTAAAATTGATTATAATATTCCCGGGAAATTTTTAATTTAAACCCAAATCCTGAAAAGGAGGCTTTGATTTCATAGTTTAGACATCCTGTCAATTCATATTTTATCCTCACATCTTCTGCATGTCAAAGTTATGGACTTGATAATGACTTTGAACCTTGGTCTTAATGTAATCATTGCCTTCAGTTGTACATTTTAATAAATGTTAAGAAGATATGATATTGACAATGGATGAACTTTTAACCATGTGACCTCAACCTAGCATTGACATACAGACCCAAAAATAGTACATGAAACATTATTCATGCTATAAAATTTTACTGACTGAACTTCGGCGAGTCAGTAGTTATGGCTCAAATAATTGTCTTTAACTGACAGTTGACAAAAATAAAAAGGTACATAAAAACAGATAAATAGAGAAAAAGGAATTAATTGTTGTCTGTACTAATTTAGAATGCTACTCATTTCCATTACCAGAAACATAAAAATATAGTTTTAATTGTAAACTAAATATTAACACTTCTGCTCCAACATCATCACAAATTAATGATGATCAAATCCACAAAAAAAAGAAAAGAAAAAGAAACTCATAAGAAAGGAATAAAACACAGCTTCTTTCGAAATTGATCAGTGGCATCATAATCAAAGTGACCAAATGCAGACATAAAGGTAGACACAAACAGCCATCTAATGGATAGTATTTGCCAACATCGTAGTTTCTTTACTGAATTTATTGCCTCAACAACAGACAGGTCATTTTAAAGTGGAGTTTCCTGGTAGTAGCTGGTGACTACCAAACTGGACAAATACACTTTGATGCAAGCGTTGTCAAATGCCATCCACAGCAACTGAGTCTTGCTCAAGGACACAACCATGACAGCACAAATCAGTTCTTTTCTCAGCATCCTGAGAAACGCAAATCACCAATTTGGTAGCTGTAAACCAAACACCTTGGTCTTCACCAGAGGTCATGTAAACCAAACAGATGTTGTAAGCCAACATTTATCTCAGCCCCCACCCCCTCAACATTACAGAAATTAAAAAAAACATGAACAAAAGTATAACTTGGTAATTAATTTTACCTCCTAAAAGACTTTGGAGTGAAAGAAGTATTGTTCTAACATCATACAGGGCTGACCACTTCTCCTTCAGGATGTCCAGACAAATGTTTCCATGGTGATCCACGTTGGGATGGTAACAAGGTGAGTCAAACTTGACGGTTGGCGCTTGGTAGGGGTAGCTGCTAGGGAACTCGAGGATGAGCTTGTAACGAAGGCCTTCGTATACCTATTTGATAAGATTGAAGAAGTGTTGTTTTACATGATGCAAATACACTGTACTCTACAATCAAGAGATCTGCCTAATCAGGTCAAATAGTTAAATTCAAATTCCAGTAAAATTATAACAATGAACACTCCACAATCAGGGACTCTAAAAAACGGCCAAATTATTTGGTCCCAAAGGTGTCCGGTTTAGACAGATTCCACTGTATATCTAAAACATAAATATAAGAAGTTTGATAATTTTTTATTTAGTTTCTAATAATATTTCCACTTAAGTTTACCAATCTTTTATAAACAGTTTACTTGAGGATAGATATTTGATAACTATTTGATGTACCGTTCCAGTTGCTCCGTCTAATGTGGCTATCCATTTGAACAAATTATCACCATCAGGAAATGCTGATATTCCTGTATTGTTGGATGTCTGTAAGAAGATAAATGACAAATTAAAAAAGTAATTAGGTGCAAAGATGGGGAAAAAATCATAACCTGAATTCAGACTGGGCACGCTAGTTTCTTCACTAGGTATACAGCAGTCTTTGAACCTAGCTAACTACAAATCACATTTTTGTAGCAAAACCAAACACAATGTAGAACACAAAGCTATTTAATAGATAGGTAATATTGATAGTAATCTTACAGAATTTTCTTTCTTATCCCTTCATTGCTATGGCCATTTTTAACAAAACAAAGCTGTAATGTAGGTATATTTTGACATTCTGTCGTTATAGTAATTTTGGTTCACAGAGGAACAGTAGACATGTTTCAATACATCATTTCCATGATGTCTTTACATTGTGTCATCAGAGGAGGCTTGGCATATTTAGGTAATCATGAGTCATGCTTACCAAAAGTGTCATCAACTCCTGCTGTAATCTGTAAATAAAAGAAAAACAACTTCATTATTCCTCAGATGGATAACACGACATCCAAATACAATAAAATACTGAGCCCATGAACTATGTATTAACAAACTGGACAGTGATAGGTAGTAAACTAAAATTTTTTTATTCCATTGCTAGATCCAAGATGGCCGTATGTTAGCCATTTTGTTTTTCTGATCAGCCTTAAAACAAACAAACAAACAAACACAACTAGTGACAGAGTGGAACCATCAATGAAATTTGAGAAAAGATCCATCATGTACTTCTCAAGTAACAGACAGTAATGTGATAACAGGAATTGTTAACAGACAGACCAGGGCAAATGGGCAATATGAATAGCCTTATCATCAGGAACCGAAATATGTCAGAAGAACAGTATCAATGTCAACAGATTTTACCGTTTATCCTGTAAATGGCACTGCCATTGTCGGAATAAACCAGCCACACATATTATTGCTGTACTTGACAGAATAACTTTCTTATTTATTTGAATGTTTCATTCATTCAATAATATAAATAACTTTAAATAAGCTCAGGACAGAAAGACAGCATGTCACTTTTATTCTCTATTTATCCTGCAACTTGCTCTGGTATTATCAAAATGCACCTGCCACATACATTTTTGCTGTATTTGGCAATGACGGAAAACAGCTGTATTTCAGAATGTGCGTAAATTTGACAGAATTACTCTGAATATACTTAAATATTATGTTTAGAAATATGAATATTGTTGAAATAAGCAATATAACATGTTGTCATGAACAAGTTGATTATGAAAATTCATAACATTGCTGTTATATCTGATGAAGATTGGAACTATATTTTTGCGGAACACAATTATTTTGGTGTCACTAGACAAAACTCAGCGTAATGTCAATGTCAAGTAAACACAGGTTCATCAGGTTGAACATCAAAACTGTGTAAGTTTCAATAGTCTGATTTTCAATTAATGTTGCAAGATAGATAGAATACATGGTCAGTGTCTAAAAGTATATGTGGGATGCAGCAAGCCACTTTTGTCTTTCTTCATCCTCGTCAAAATACGGGTTATAAGACACTGACTACATATTCTTTATGAATGTCTCAAATGCATGCAACACATCTGGTTTCACTTTATATGAATAATCATCATATTCTGTCTCCTTCGTTCAGACTGAAAGATGAAATATGGTCAATCAGGATTTGTTCTGACCCTCAAAAACCTTAACATTTCGACTCCTTAACTTGTCAAAGCCGCCCCCACCCCCTATTCATCAATTATTTCAAATATACAAGACTCTTAATTTGAGGGTTCAGTGGAAAACTATGTCTGAATGATTCAAGATGATGTAAAACATGTCACCTTATATGTCGTGAAATGCAGGCTAGGTTACCTGGCATGGTATTACAGGAGGGTATAGTCTATATTATGTAGTAGGTCTTTACTATGATATAATGTACAGTAAGGTTAAGAAAACATAAATGAGATGGGGTTTTAATTTTTATTTGTATATTCCAGAACACACATACACACTTGCTGTGATATTTTTTATGGGCATTGTAATTTGCAACAAAGTGTCCCTGTGCTTAGTGACCTGTGCATTGTGACGGAGTTCAACGTGGGGTTATTGCTGAGGCCGAAGATACATGTGTACGACGCTCGCTTTTAAATACCTTTTTTATATAAATGTAGTAACTTCTCTGTCATGATAAAGCATGGACAGAATAGACATACCAAAGCACATTACTGTTAGCAACGAGCCTCTACACTCTTCACGACACCTCCTGAACAGCTGTCTGTTCTGGATTCGAATTCGAGAACGCAGAATATCACAAAATACCTTTTGCTGACGGAATGATTATCTTTTGCTGAGCCCATTCTTTCTGTGTTATCCTTGTTTCTGTTGGAAGTGGATGCTGCCATTGGGTCTGTATTCTGGCTTGCCATGACTTCTTTTTCGTCTCTGTAGATTTACGTGTTTGAAATTCGTATCTAGGATTCGACAATCCAATCAAAACTGACTTCCGGTTTTATCAACCAATCATTTAGAGGTTTTCATACCAGCTTTTATATAGAGCCAGCAAGTCTGTGTCCGTATATAATAAGAGTGATAATGATATATCACTGAATACACAAAACAAAATGTATACATAGGAGGACTGATTGGTGATCGCTAAGTCGAAAATAAAATAACAAGCCTATTATATTCATTTCTTGCAGCTGCTATAACATAGAGGGGAGATAACTCATACAACCTTATGGGCATTTTCGACTTTTTTTTTCCAATGTGAAAAGTTAGTTTGTGCAGAGACGTATATATCACTGTGTTATAAACGTCTCTGGTTTGTGATACATATTCAGATTAAAAAAAGAAAACACCGTGACAATGCCCAGCGATAACAAGAGTCGTGAAAACGTAAAACATGTATTTAATTATTCAGTTAAAGAGACATACAGCAGGCAGTTTCAATGGGCACATGAATATATACCTGCCAAAGATAATTCAGGTTTTGAGGCCAAATTTATATGTTCATCTTAACCTATTTCCATTTTCATCTCGATTTGATGTATAATCGTTTTACCTATTTCTAGTCTAAGTGGTATACTGGCATATTTTTGCATATTTTTGAATTCAATAAAGCACGAACTTGTATTCCTCAAGAAAATAATAAAAAAATATCTTGCATAGATATATTATCCACCAGTCTATTATCCCAGTCAAATCGCTTACTGCCTTATTATTGCTATCTGTTTACAACGTCAAGTAAGTTGGTAGCGAGGACAGGGTCATACTTCACTTCAAATTTTCAATAAATCGGAGTCTGTATCTATATCCTTAGCATTGCAGTCACGGAATTGCAAATTTAATGTTTCTCTTTTCAAAGCTAGATCTTTTCTCTTCACTTTTTATTTTCCTTGTTCATGCTTTTGATCATATGGAAATCCAAATTCCTTCTTAAGAAATAGCGATAATAATTTCAGTTGGCAAATGCAAGATGGCCACCTTTTGACCATTTGGTTTGTGATCAGTACCAAAATTAAAATGCAAAAAGTACGGACAATGTGAAACATACAAATAGTATATGAGAACGATTCACCAAGTGCTTTACCAGTGCTTCTACTTTCCACAGTTGGAGAGGTCTTTGGTAATTGGTTGGTCAGTTACAGATTTTCCGTCTCCGCGACTCCTCCCGTTGCCGAGTATCGTCTCCACGACGAACGTCAGTGTGTGTTCTGGTGACGCGTGGAAAGGTCTTTGAATTACAATTATTTTATAGTAGGCATCGATCGGGTTTCATGCATGGTCACGCTACAGTTCGCGAACATATTGATATCTATTACTATATATATGCACTGCATTCAAGGAGAAAAGGTACCTCTGTAGTCTTTTTGTGACATTTCAGAAGCATCTGATAGAGTATGGCTTCGGGGTCCGTTTGGTAAATCAGGCGAATGGTATTTCTAGTTAGCAAAAGTATTTATCTCAGAGATGTTAAAAGCCTTTTTAAAAATTCCTATTCTTGCGTAATTGAAGCAGGCGTTCCTCAAGAATATTTCCTTGCCCCACTTTTACTTTCAATCTATATTAACGATATTGTAGATATCTTTCAATCAGCATCTCGTCTATTTTCAAATAATACATCATTATCTAAGTCATCGTTGCCTTTCCTTGAAATTCAAGAACATTTGGAAAGGAGATGGTGATTCGTTAGTAAAAAAATGGTTGGTTACTTTTACTCTGGAATCATGAAAAGAATGATGGACTGTTGATTACTAATTCTGCGGATAGTGATGAATATTTAGGGCTGGTATTACTAATCACCACAAACATTTAAATACGAAGACGCGGGGTCATATCAACAGGATTACTATTTCTGTTACGAGAAAATACATGTTTTAAGTTGGATCTGAAAAATTAGAGAAGGCCCGAAGAGAAGTTGTCCGTGATATTACAGGTCTTCCAATGCCCTACTCTAGAAACTCTTTATAACCGTAGAAAACGAAGAAAAAATGGATACGTCACAAATGAACTACTGACCTATTAAACCGTTTATTATCACCTATCACTGGTGAAAATGATAGTTATACTTTGCGTAACAATAATAACTACAGTCAATCTAGACCCTCTCTTACCCGATCATCTTTATACTTTCTACTCTTCAGAGTTGGAATACCTTAAATGATGTGATTTGTGTATTACCTTCGCTAGATCTATTTATACCCTCTTAAAACCAAGATGTAGCATCTCCCCTGCATGTGTGTTTTAGTGTCAGCGATCTTGAGTTGAATATCTTACATCCTTAAATTATGATCCCTTTAGGACAAACATTTGAATGATTTCAAATATGGCCAACAGACAGTCATCTACGTAATGTCGAGTCTCAGAACTGACCAAGGACTACCTTGGTCAAAGCAGAGCCTACCGTATGTCGATTTTGAGACTAAATAGTTCTTTAATTCAAGATGCTTACAAATCATATATACATATGTATATATATAAAATATTGTTAATGACGATACGCAAGTGATAATATAAAGAAAATTGTTAAAAAAACACACAAGAAAAAGTTAAGTTAGTATTTTGCATAACGTTTTCACAGCTTAGACATTGCACTGAGGAGCAGCTAAGCTGTGAAAACGTTATGCAAAATGCTAACTTAACTTTTTCTTGTGTTTTTTTTTAACAATTTTCTTGATATATATGATTGGTAAGGATCTTGAATTTCAAATCGCCTATCCTTCGTCTATGTATATATACATGTATATAGGAATAACTTAAAACAATGTCGAATTAAGCATTAGCGCTTTCATTCCTGAATATTCATGAAGATTCAGGAATGAAAGCGCTAATACCTAATTCGACGTGTTGTTTTAAGTGATTCTAATATATTTCAGCGGACACTAAGAATTCACTTTTTATATTTGAATATATGATCAAATCCCCAAGGCAACCAAAGAGGAAACGATTCACTCATGTTGGTGCTGAGAGGGCGTTCGCTCAAAAGTCAAAAATCATCATCCAAAAGTCAGTTAGATGATTAGAAGGGAATTTGCTTCTAACGATCATACTAATGTTGGGTGGAAAACAGTTTCGTTTCGACTTGAGCAGAAAATACATATTTTCCCCTCAAAATCCTGGCTGCAGGAGCTCGCAGGTCGTCAGCTAGGAGAAAACATTAGTTCCAGTTCATAAGATATATACACACACACACGATACCATCGTTATCTTTCTTTATAAGGGGAAAAGATGACGTACAATACAAAACCAAACATGTACACTTAACACCTAAAGACTATCTGATGACGAAAAAAGAATATGCCTGGTGCATCTTAATGCATGTCGCTCGAGGCGACTAATTGTGGGCACCATTGCAGACGGGGATGTTTTTCACAATTCCTGATGTTCAGGAGACATTGGAGAGACCGAGAACATAGCCTGAGACGACTAATAGGTAGCCTCCCTCCCCACTTCCACTACATCATTGTACCTTCTAAAAAGAAAAATTATAATTAAAAAAATCTGATGTCTCCGTTGCAATCCACGAGATCTCGATACTATCCCGCTAGGTGTCCGTTTTGACATCCATTCTCATACGACCCCTGCTGTGGCGAGGTCGTTATACTAGTACAAGACATGCCTTACGATAAAATGTGTTATTGGCAGAAGCTAGCAAGAAGCAGAAAAAAATAAAAAATAAAATAAACTCCTCACATGTAAAGCAGCAAACCTGAGTTAAATAAAACTTTAATTTTAAACAATTTTAACAAATAAGTTTTTAAACTAATAATTTAAACAAAAAAATAATAAATAAACGAGTAATTGATGTTCAGGGCGAAGGAGTGGGGATATCAACATTAAATATCCTATGACGAAGCATATCATTGTCGTACATAAAAAAAGACCGGACCCAAAACATCTCCCTGCTGTACACCAGAATTTATTAGACATAATACACCGCCGTTGCCGAGTTGACTTTGCATTCGTCCGACTGTGTTTACAGCGTTTTGTATTTTGCGTTAACATCTCTGTAGACAAAGACCGAACTTCCAGACCTGTGATAGTTAACCGTCTCAGTTCGGTGTATCCTCCTACGCTGAAAAAGGCCCATATTATCACTGACGAGTCATTTAGACCTAAGGTTTGCCATAACCAGCATGCCTCGTTTCTATTCATTAGAATAGTAGCACGGTTCAGAACACACACATGTGCTTGACGTTGTTATAAAATTATCTGATATACGAAAAATTACCAAATTTGTTTATTTATGGGGCTGCTGCACCTCCCCGTCTAAATTTTGAAATTTCTTTCGATCACTTTGGACTTTCCTCGGTCGCCTCCTAAGCCTTTAGCATTACTGACGAGTCTTGGATTGACAAAATGGCTGTGATACAGTTTGGATGTGATGAGTCATTCACCGTTAAACATCTTTTAATAGACAGCATTGACCTGTATACTTGAGAATTTTTTTTATCGTAACGTTACAAGTCAAAAGACTTTTTTTGAAACTATTGAGGTTTATAAAATTCTAGGTTATGTGAAACTGCTGTGTTTCACCGGTTGATGACCCTAATGACCTCACATGTGTTGACGGGCATTTAAGATAATAATAGTATGGTGCAGTTTAATTCGCCGTTTAGCTCTACTGTATCCAACTCTAAATTGATATTACAAGTTGTTATTCTGTACAACCGAGAAGTAGGATGCAGTTTATGAAGTTGATTTATTGCTTGGTTTTACTGTATGTTTGTATTGAAAATGCTATTCACGTTGTGTAATTTTCGAGATTCGAGATTTCGGTTGGCTTCAAGCTCTGCTTGTGGACTCTTAGTCCCTAGACCGCGAGGTTTGCCATATCCTTGATGCCACTTTTACATTATGTCTCTTTACAATAGTGGCACGGTTCAGAATAAACATAAGTCATTGACGTTGTTCAACGGGGATAGTG